ATGCACAACATAAGATTTTTGAAGACATACTTAGCCAAATAGCTAACAAGTTCCAAAAAACAAAAGAAAGACACTAGACTCGAACATGGTTTTAAAAAACGACCGTTACGATACTTAATGGTCGTTATATAATGGTTTTGGATGTTAGTGTAGGTGCACAAGATCTAACCATTTTGAATGTGTTTGACTTATTATACCATTGCATTATTTATATTGATTATAATAAAAGAATTTCTATTAATTCTTATCATTTGCATTTATTCATTGTATAGAATTAGATAGAAGTCCATAAGATATGCATTTGCATTAGTGATTGATCGAAAGATGTGAAACAAATACTAAGGCACATAAATAATATCGTTAAATATTCCAAGTCGTAGTATGGTCAAGAATGGATATTGATGAAAAGCGGTTAGACTTGTGAGTATTATGCTTATGCTATATGATAATAGTAGGAGATCTCACATATATTGGTGTGATAATGTCAAAGTAAACACTTAGGTGATTTATATTGGAGAACATATCACTAGACTTGACTCGCCATGAGAACTCACTTGGTTTAGTCTATGAAAATTTCATACGAGATGGGTACAATTGGTAATTAGACTTGAGGTCATCATAGTTATCTCATTGAAGGATTTATGTACTTTGACATTCGCTTTGATGTACCCGGTAAAGGGTTTCACGTGGATGATTTGTTGAGTACACTAGGAATCTAATGGAGGTGGGTGAATGACTAACATAGGACATTTCATTCCTTTTACACTAAAGGAGTTATCACATTGCATTTCGATGAATGTCTATTCAAGAAATTTGTGGCCATAGTAGAAGTACACTAATAGAGCATAGTTGGTTTACTTTACGAGCTAAGACATTTAAAAATCGAAGAAAACTTATGTGATCGTGATCGTAATCGAACAAGACTAATTACCAAGTTCGAGATCACACTCGTGATAAGTTGACATAAAGACTGAATTGTATAGTAACCATGCTCGTAAAAGGTAATAATGGATTATTTAATTTCTTTAGAGAATTGGGTAGTTATGATGCCTTGCTAGAGGTCAATCTTGACTTATGTATCAAAAGATAAAAGAGGTGTCATTTACTCTTGATACATTGCCAACATATCTAAGAGTTTATTAAGTCACACACATAAGTTTAAGCATTCACATGATTAAAAAGAAGTAAAGGTATTGAAAAAAGTTTCCAATTATGAAAGTTTCCTATTTTGGAAAGGGCCTTTGAAAATGAAAAGTTTCCTAAAATAGAAAGTTTTCTATTTTAGAAATCAATTTCCTAATTTGGAAGTTCTAAATTTGAAAGTAAATAACCTAAAATGAAAATGAGTTTCTTAATTTAGTTTAAAAGGTATTTTAGGAAATTATTTCCTAATGTGGGTCACCTAAAATTATCTAAGTTTATTTATTTGGATAGTTCAAATTAATTAATTATGTCAAAATAGTTTTGGGGCCAATCGATTTAATTAAAAGTCCAAAGATATTTTGGTAGGAGGATAGGCATGAGCCTCATTAGATAATGATGAATGTTTTAAACATAAAAATCAAAAACCCACATGTTAAATAACTCCTAATCCTTAGAGGTTGGAAGCAACTACCATGAGTCCTATTTAAGATAAGTTGCCGCCCATCTTTGTCCTTGGAGGACAACGAAACTCTCACTTTATAATTAGGAGGAGACACATGCAATAATTATGTACTCTTAAAGAGGGAGAGAGAGAGAATTAGGCAAAAAATAAAAGAGAAATAGGGCACATAGCCAAGAAGAAAAAAAATAGTTTTCTCCCAAAAGCCCCTAGCACGTCGCCTTCTATCCATCTCTTTTGGGTTGTTGTAAACTTACCCGCATTAGATTTCTATAGGACATACTAAATAAATCAAAAAATATAGAGCTACCGCTCTATCAATTTTGAATGCTTCTTTGTGGTTGCTTGGATTGCATAGATAATTAATAAAGGTCGGACGCTTGGATGGCTTCTTTCTTTGTCAAAGAATTTGGATCTACGCTATAAGAGGTAATTTTCTATTCATCGTTTTAATTCATGAATATATGGTTAGTTGATTCAACGACATGATCTCGGGTGCTTTAGATGGAGGAAATTTTTGTTTTATTTCGCACCTTTATAGGATGCATGATCCTTCATTGGATATTCCGTTATCGTTATTCGGTGTTATGGGTACCCTAACGTCGTTTCACACGTATAACAACAAATAACGACGTTATACATAATAATAATAATAATAAAAAGAAACTAGCTATTTCAACAACTGAATTTCAGCCATAAAAGTAGAGAGGCAAAGACCAAGACTCTCTCGACTCAACCCAAGCCACCTACACTACAACTTGAAAACCCGGATGCCATTAGAAGTTGAAGTTTCATAAGAATTCTTTTTTGTTTTCTTGGAGGGTTATTGAAAACCCAAATGCCATTAGAAGTTGAGTTTTCCTAAAAATCTATTTCTTATTTTCTTGAAAGGTTGTAAAAGGGAAAGAGAGAGCTCGAGTGAGAGAGAGAGAGTTTCTTTCTTTTATTAAGCTTTTTATTTTTTATTTTCTTGTGATCATGTTGAAACGGGTTCGATATAACGGAGAATGTCACCCCTTATTTGTTATATTTTATTGAATTATAACTTATATCATGCTCGTTCTTCACATGAAGTTGTAGCTTTTGTACTAACTTAATAGGATAGGATAAGATACAATCAAATAGATTTTATTTGGGCAAACTATTTCATTATTCCTTTTATTTTGGCAAAATAAGTTAGTCAATTTTTTATTTCAAAAATCAATTATTTAGTTATTTTTGTTCATTTTATCTTCTATTTTTTTTTAAATAAATTTATATCATGAAGAGATTGATGAAAAAAGAAAAAAATTTATAGAATAAAATATACTACATTAAACATGGTCAATATTGATTAAAAAAATTAAATAATTAGTTTTTGAAATATTAAGAATTAATTAATACATTTATCAAAACTAGAGGGACTAATGTATAATTTATTTTAGGTTTTTTTTTTCCCTTATGGGTGCAACAAATTCAAAGGCCTCAAATGCAGGCTTTAATTGATTAAACTATAAATTAGTCCCTTTAGTTTGGAAAAGTAATTGGTCTTTTTTGTTTCAAAAACTAATTATTTAGTCACATTTTTCAATTTGTTTTTCTTTTTTAAAAAATAGAAAAAATAAAAAGTAAATTTACATCATGAAAAGATTGATGGAAGAAAAACATTTGTAAAATAAACTATATTACATTAAACATAATTAATACTAATAAAAAATTAAATAGTTAATTTTGGAAGCATAAAAGACTTAATTTATCAAACTAAAAGAACTAATGCTAATTTACTCCCTCACCAAATTACAACCTTTGAATTTGATTCCATACAATCAAATGCTAAAAGAAAAGAAAAAAAATTCTTTCCCAACTTAATATATCATGTAATTTTCAACTTCATTCTTTTTTTATAAAATTATTAAAGGTCAACTTTGAACATTGAACTCTCTTTCAAGTTATTTTAAACTTCTTATTTTCTTAATAAACCACATAAATAATTTTAAATATTTATTTGGAAAGTAGATAATTCACAAAGATAATTCTCAACTCAAATTAAATTTATAATTTTTTTTTGTGTGATATTAATCTATTATAAGTGTTAAAGCTATGCATATGGAAATACGAGATAAAAAACTGACAACTTAATCACGAAAGGAGAATGACGAAAATAGAGAGAACATGAAAGAGAATGGATAAATATATATACATATGAGAAATCTAGAAGTATCAAAGAAAGCATTGGTTGTTGCATCATGAAAAGAAATCGAATAATTAGAACTAAAAGAAAACAACGATTGTCCCCCATAATCATATTGTTCAGGATGAGACAATTGAATATTCAAAGAAGCCACACATGAGAAATTGATTTACATGGCTTATAAGGCGAAGTTTGAAAATTCTCTAACTACTACCTCTAAGAATGTTTAGAAATTAGAACATTATTCGAAGAAAACCCTAGTTATCAGTAGCCTCCGACCATCAGATACCCATGGGGGAGAGGCCGTCCCCCGCTTCTCTTCCCTTACCAAAACCTCTCCCCTTTTCAGCACGACTTTTATCCCCTCCTCTGATCTCTTCAGAACCAGCGATACAACCTAACCAAAAAAATCCTATGCAGCCCACACAAACTAGGAACCCTATTCCTCACTGTTTTCCTCCCATACTAATCGCCCCAAAACCTCTATCGACATTTAAAGGTGAGCCAACAGTAGAGTTTTCCATTGCTGATTTGCAGTAATCATCAAGACTGTTTGAACAGTCCCTGGTTGCAAAATTCTCCAAAGGAAGGCCTCTCATAAACAACATCATAAGGTAACATATTCCTCAGCACTGAAACCTTACAGAAGAGCCAGTAATAAGACTTATAGACCCTAGGCATGTGTTGATTTGATTGTTCTCTAGAGAAGATTTCATCATAGCATAGTCCCGTGACTCTCACCTCATTGAAAACTTATTCTTCAGATTATTCAAGTGGGAAGAATCCTTTAGCACCAAGTATGAATCGTCTAGAGCTGTTATATGGGTTAAACTTTTGGGCCTTCCCCTCCCTTTCTTCCCATCAGCGTCCTTAAAGGAGATTCTACGACCAATTGGTATCTTCTTGAGACCAAATAAGAGAACGTCTAATCGGTCTCACCTGATGTATGCAAGGGTGTTTATGGAGGTAGACCTTGAAGCTGTTATTCCATCATGAGTCTGGATCTCAATCGGGCATGCCAAGAATAAAGGTTTTTGGCAGCCGATTCATGTTGAATCAAATACTACTTTTTGTGAGTTTTGTAAGTTGCAAGTACACGCTAAAACAATGTGTCATAAGTGTAAAGAACCTACAACACAACAACCATCCCATAACACTAGTAGCTTCCATGTGAAAACTCATCAGGAATGGCATGCAGTCAAGGATAAGACTAAACAAAAGACTGAGATGGATCGACAAGTACCCAACAAAGGCTTACGTATTGGTAACAGAAATGGAAAAGAAATTCGACCTGCTTCACTAGTTCTCAAAGTGTCAAACTATCTTCTGGGAGAAAAGCAAGGTTTTGCTTCAAGCTCTAAAGGAGTAGTACCCACAATCTGGATAATGATAAGGAGTAGTACAAGGCAAAACGAGGTGTAACGAGCAAAGGGAGCGCTAGTGATATGGAAACTGGAGAAATATCTCCTATAGATGTACTACATGAGCATGCATCACTAAACTCCTCTGCAGTATTGTAGGAGTGTGAGATGATTAATTGGAGCAGATTAAAAGGAGTGCAAGGAGAATTAATGATACAGGACCACACAACTTTAACGACTGTTAATAAGTATCATGGGCCTGAGAGTAGAAGGCAGCATAATTTATTACTGCTACAGGACCATGCTACGTATAAAGAAGTGGAAGTTTTGCATGGGAATGGTTTCTCCAAAAACAAGCAAAATATTGTAGTTGAGCAGAATGAAGAAGAGAATTTGTTACAAATAATCCCTTTTGAGGACTTGGGTAATGAAGTAGGTACAAAACTAGAACATTCTAGGGGTCATCATACAACAAAGACAAAGACCAATCTACTTTCAGAACCTTAAGGGAGAAAAATGATGAAGGTATCTACTCAAACAGCGCAATATAGCCAAGATGATTGTTTTGCAGTAAATAAGAAAGGGATAGACTTGTCTCTAAAAGGAAGCTCCTTCACTACGGGGGAGGAATCTCATGGGGCAGACTTAAATACTTATTCCCAATAGGAGGAAACCTTAGATGAGAATTAGTTTGCCATGGTTTAATCAGTGGAAGAAGTTTCATTTATAACTCTAGTATTGCACAGAAAGAAGAATAAAAAAGTGCAAACTTCAGCTAAGGTAACACGGCACAACACTAGATCCATTAAGGATTCCTACGGTAACACATTCCTTTCCTTTGTCTAATGAGTTGCATGATTTAAAATGGACGAGGTATCAACTTCCTTGAAAAACATACATATCTTAAGGGGGTTGATAAGGTTACATAAAATTCACCTTTTAGTGATTCTAGAACCTAAACTACAAGGTGAGAAAGCTATAGACTTAGCTAGATTTTTGAAATTTGATCATCACCTATATAGCAATCCTCAAAATACTCACATCTGGGTGTTTTCCAAAAATACCAATATTACTATTCACAGTTCATATAAACAAGCAATAACAGTAGAGATCACAAATATTTTTACTTCTAGATGTTGGTTTTTCTCATGTGTTTATGTAGATTGCAATAGAAAGAAGCGAAAGGATCTATGGTGATATTTATTGAATGTTAACAGCACTGCACCATGGGTAGTCTGTGATGATTTTAATGTCGTCACCTCACTCTTAGAAAAAGTAGGGGGACGAGACCCTGACTTAGGAGCTATGGATGATTTTAACCAGTTCATACATCAAAGCGAGATGATTGACGCTGGCTATGTACGTAACAATTTTACATGGTGTAACAACCATACATGAGCCATACGGATAGTAGAAAGACTTGACAAATGCCTTTTTAATTAATACCCAGTTCTAAGTATGTATGTCGACACTTGAGTGCATTCATCTCCTTTGAATGTTCTCTGATCACTACCCACTTATGCTATCATTCAGAGAAAGAAGAGCCAAACTTGTAAGATTTTCCTTCAAGCAAATGTGGACACATCATGCATGAAAGCTTCTTACAGTTAATCAACCAATACTGGTACCCTCATGCTACTACGGATCCGTTGACCAGTTTTCAACTAAATCTTAAAGTTTTACGCAGAGTTCTCAAAACTTATAATTGGGAAGTTTATGGCAATATTTATAAAAGAGTATTTGATGCAGAGGATGAGGTTACCCGAAAGGAAGCAGACTTTCTGATGAATAATTCTGATGATGTGACCCAGAATTTGGCAGCAGCAAAGTTTAAATTGTCAGCTCTGGTTTTGCAACAAGAAATATTTCTAAGAGAAAAGGTAAGGGTAAGATGGCTTAAAGAAGGGGTCAGAAATCAAGCTTTTTTTCATGCTAGCATACAGTCGTATAAATAGAAAAGTAACATCTCACTGAGGATCAATGGTAACATTTACACTGAGGAGACTATGTTGGGAAATGAGGTAGTCACCTATTTTCAGGACCTTCTACAGTCTAGACCAGTGACCCTCCAGATGATCTCCCTGATGTTGTTCCCTCACTAGTCACTACAGAGCAGAATCAAATGTTATTAGAGGTCCTATCTGCATTGGAAATAAAACAAGCTGCATTCGATATTAATCCATCCAGTGCACCAGGGCTCGATGGTTTTACAGGAATTTTTTGCTAGACTTGTTAGATTGTGGTTGGTAACTCTCTAGTTCATATCATACAAGAGTTTTTTAAAAGGTGATGTCATGCCTAAAGCTTTAACTTCTACATCAATAGTCCTTATTCCAAAGTGCAAAAATCCGAAAGAATACAGTGATTTGAGGTCAGTAAGTCTCTGTAATGTCTCTTACAAGATCATTGCCAAAATACTTACACATAGACTTGGCACAGTATTACTATGTATCATTTCAAAAGGACAGAGTGACTTTGTAAACGGAAGATTGATTTAGGAAAACGTTGCTCTAGCACATGAACTCTTTCAAGAGATTGACCAAAAAACATTTGGAGGAAATTTGGTTTTTAAAGTGGATATGAAAAAGGCTTATGACAACTTAAAATGGTCATTCCTGATTAAAGCTATACTGAAATTTGGCTTCTCTGAAGAAAGGTGCTCCCTGATACTTCATTGTCTAAATAATTGATGGTACTCTATAATTCTTAATGGTGGCTCATTTGGCTTTTTTAAATCAGAATGGGGTGTTCGTCAAGGGGTTCCTCTTTCACCAGCTCTTTTCACTGTTACCTAGGATGTTCTAAGCAGAAATCTAAACTTGCAAGTAGAGTTGGGTCAGATTTAACCTTACCGTGTAAGACGGTCCATAACAAATGTTAACTATTTGTTTTTTGCAAATGATATGTTGCTGTTCAGTAATGGCTCAAAACAGTTAGTGGATAAACTTATGTGCACACTTAAAAAATACTATGAGTGTAGTGGACAACAGATTAACACGAGTAAAAGTGGATTCCTCTACAGTAGCAAAGTTCCACTAAACAGGATTAGACTTCTACAGAGATGGATAGGTTTTAGATATATGAAACCTCCCACCAGATATTTGGGTATCCTATTTTTCAAGTGGCAGGCTAAGTTATCTTATTTTCATTCACTAGAGGAAAAATACATAGTAAGCTTGCAGGGTGGAAGGGTAAGCTCTTATCTATGGGGAGTAAGCTAACTATGATACCATCAATTTTATCCTTTCTTCCAGTGTACATTATAGCTGTCATGCCCATCTCAAAAAAGACTATAATGAATATTCAGAGTTACATTGCTAACTTCTTTTGGAACAATGGGGAAGAAGGCCGTCATCACTAGATTAGTTGGGAAAAAAATTACAAAATCATATGCGGAAGGGGGTTTGGGATAAGAAATTTACAGAAGGTTATGTCTTCTACGAAGGGAAAATTAGATTGGTCATTTTTACATGGTACCTCCTTATAGGCAAGATTTATGATTTTTAACCATGGCACACATAGCATGCAGCCTGTTAACAGAAATAGAGGCTAATTGATATGAAGAAACCTACTGCTGTGTATACTTCTCCTAAAGGAAAATTTGAAGTGGTTGGTAGGTGAGGGGAGCATCCCGTTGGGAACATGGAGTTTGGACAATCTGAGTTTGTTTTCAGAACTTCCTATAAAAGAAATATTACAGAGTAACACTTTAATGACGTCTCTTCCTCCATCAATCCAGCATGCACTAAGTGATACTAGTTTATCTTTAAATGAACTAGGTAAACTCATATTCACGCCAATGACTTCAGGGCTTTTTAGAACGTCTGTATATCGACAACAGTTGAGGACTCTAGCCTTCATATTTGAATGGTGAAAGCAGTTTTGGAATGGATGGATGCCAAGTAAGATAACAATTCTTACCTGGAAAATAATTAACAACGACATTGCAGTAGGCCAAAACATTCGGTAGTATGGCATTCACATGCCCTCATACTGCCACTGCTGTAAACATCCAGTAGTAGAGTCAATGGATCATCTGTTTTTACAATGAGAAATTACCGCAACAACCTGGAGATATTTCAGCCCACTGTTTAATGTACCCATTGTAGATAGCTCAATGCATGTATTAGTTGGTAAATGGTTACATAGTGGTGTTCCCACCAATCAGAAAGCCTTCTACAGAATGGTGACTCTCCACTGCACTATTTGGAAAATCTGGAAAGCAAGCAATAAAGCTTTTTTTGATGGGGAAGAAATGGTTGCTGCAGTGATAATTTACAAGGTCAAGAGATGGCTAGCTAAAATTCAATATTTGTTTACTCCCTGGGCCAAACTTGGCTTTCATGATGCCTTTTGCATTTAAGCCTTACAGGTTCCTCTTCTTCCTTCAGGGGTGCCTAGAGGTAAATGGATTGCATGGTCTCCTCCACCTTTGCAAAAGCTTAAATTAAACTATGATGGGTCTGGAAGAGACGGAATGTACACTGGAGGAGGAGTGGTGAGGGACGAAAATGGGAAGTTTGTTTTTGCTTTTTCCTCACACTATGGCAAGGGTACAAATAATAAAGGGGAGATTAGTACAATGTTGGAAGGACTGCAATTATGCAGGAGATATAACATAATAATTCATTATGTAGAATTGGACTCAAAACTGGTGGTTGACGCCATGAATGGGTTATCTACAGTGCCTTGGCCGTTGACATACCTGTTGCGCAAATGTAAATGGAGGATAGAGTGTACTTCACTTATACATACATATATGGAAGGCAACTACACTACTGATAGGCTAACAGATCATGCTCACATTCATGGAAACCAAGTTACATATCATTCATTGGATACACTACCTTCTTCAGCTCGAGTGGTACTCAAGGAAGACTACTATGGCTTAGCGAGGTTTAGGAAATAGTTCTTTTTATTTGTTTATCTTTCTATCATCTCTAGTATAGCATTGTCTGGCTATTTAGTATCTTTAGTTTTCAGGGATGTTACTGTATCTTCTTAGGGGTTTAGACTACCTAGTCCCCCCATTATGATGGGTTAGGCCAGATTTATCCCCCCTATCATTTTTCTCGTTTATTTATAATATTTCAGGGTACGACCTTTATTCTTTAAAAAAAAAAAAAAAACCTAATACCTTGAAGACAAGTGGAAAAAAACCCCTGACGGTGTCTGAGAAGAATTATTAACTCCTTTTCTTGTGGTCTCATGGCCACCTGGCCTAAAACACTAAAACTATGCCTTATATCTTATAATTATCATTATATAAAAGGACTCTCTCCTTCGTTAAAAACAACTCCAATAACATTTTATATGATTTAAAAAAGAAAATCCTCCTTTCCTCCTTTATACATAATATATTAAAATATTAATTTAATAATCAGAGCGGATTCACCATGACACTCTTTGACACTATTAATACTAGTGTTTGTGCTCTATGCTCGTAAGATTTAAAAAAGCCACCAATATTTTTCCAACTCTTCAAAAAATTGAATATCAAATATAATAAATCAATACGTTCAAAGTTTTGTGCATTATCATCTAGTTTTCTTACTAGTCGATTACTGCGCTATCGTTGCGGACGGACAACCATTACATATGTAGGATTAACGATTCATATGGTGTAATGCTAATAAAATTTTTTATTTTTTGTTATTAATATAAATCGAATCTATATAATTAATTTGTAATATATATATATATATACATATTGGGAGTATATAGAATAAATAAAAAAATATAAAAAAAAACCCACTTAAATGGTAGAAACATATTGAAGTCGGTAGATTAAAATAAAAACTATAAAAAAATTAGTTCGATAAATTCTGAATAAATATATATAAAAAAGCATATAAAATTTGTGAATTTTTGAACTCATTATTTTTTTAAAAACAAATGAGTCAAACCATCTAAAACATACTTTTGACGCTCTCTCTCTCTCTCTCTTTCTATATATATATTAAAAAATAAAACAATCATTTAAAAATATAAAAATAATTTATTGTATAAATTATAATAATATTTTTTAAAAAAATAAAACATTGACGTTGTAAAATTTTATCTCAAAATTCATATATTAAAAAACCAAATTTATTAAGAAATAAAATTATATCAAAAAATTATCAACCATTATAAATTTATAATAAAATTGAAAATTAAAAATATTTCAAAATGACCATTGTAACCTAAAAATATATTTGTTATATATATATATATATATATATATGAAGGGAAAAAAAAAAAAAAGGAAAGAATACCAACCTGGGCTCTAAGGCTTGGCTATATGGAAAAAAAAAAAATGGAGGAAGGAGGCGGCCTGGCGCATGCTTGCTCAAGAGTCAGGCCTTGGCTGCTGGTCAGCCTAGCAGGGGAAAAAAAAAAAAAGACAAAGGAAACAAAAAAAACTAGTTACTGTTCATAACTATTCATTTATTGTGGATATACCTCAGGTCTTTTAGTTATATTGCAATTTATCGTAAAACAATTTCTTAGAAAATTAAGAAGTGATTTTTAGTAAATACAGATTTTCCATGATTAAAAATAAGCATTGTGTGCTTTACATTAAAAATAATAGAAGAAGTGAACGTAAAAACTTAAGCGAACCAAACAAAAAGCTTATTTTTGTAATAAAGGCATTAGAAAACAATTTTTTTTTTCAAATGTTTGGTCGCCGAAAATTGCATTGTAAGAGATGATTAGTCGTTAGCTTTTTTTCCTTTCTTGATTCTGTCCATTTTTATTTTCATTTTTTCATAATCTGAAATTAATTTCTTTTAGAATCAAATTATTAAAATAATATTATAAAAAACATATAATAATATCATATTTTTCAAATAAAATTAGAATGTTTTATACTAATGTTATTACTTATTTTAGGAATAATAAAATCTGAATATAATGTGCATAATTAAAAAAACAAAATGATTCCGGGAGAAATTAACTGGTATCATGAATCTTCAAAGACAATAAAAAAAATTATCTTCTTAATTATTGAATATTTTATACAGTTTTTGAAAATTAATTTATCTCGTGATCAATATTCTATGGCAATAGAAGAAATTATTTTTTATACAATTTCTCATACAATCTTTTAAAAATGATTAAAACATATTTTTGCTTTCTGATTGAAACTCCCTCTTAAAATTACAATAATTTTTTTTTTCAAAAATCAAAGTATAAGGAAAAATAAATCCTTTTTTTAATAAATAAAATTCATAAAATTGGCCAAGAAAACGTAATCAAATACAAAACTTGATGATTAATTATAAAATTGTATAGATTGTTTTTTTGGAGAATATATTGAGCTTATTAAAAAAATTGATTTGAATTTAATAAAATAAAATTTTTAAAACACAAAAATATTTCATCAATTAAAAATAGAATTAGGATTAATACTAATACTATATATGTATTTTACAATTACTATTTTCAAGTGAAAACTTTTGAATAAATAAATTTTAGAAAACATATTATGAATACAATAAAAAATTTTTATTGATCTTTCAACTCTAAAAATACATGTGAAAAATTAAAAATAAATAAATAAAACTCTAAATGCCATTAATTTTTTAACATATAATTTATTGATTTAATATACATTCCATTTATTTTATTGCTACGATCAAACTTAATTTCAGTTTAACCCGATTGAATAAAAAAAATTATACAATTTTTTTAATGGTCCTCCATAACAAACTAGCGTTGAATCATAATATTATAAAGACAAGTAATACGTACGGGAATGAAAAGTATATACAACATAATTTGAATCATATAATATAATGTTCAGTCTATTAAAATCTATAGTTGAGGGTTTTGAGAACTATCAGTGACAATTTTAGTGGCGATAGGAAAGGATTAGGGCTAGGGTTTGTTTTATATGATGAATTTTATTAGTTGCTAAACTAGGAATGTAAAAGATAATTTATGAAAAATTAGGATAAAGTATTATCACGTTAAAACTATTAAAAGAAAAAAAAAGGTTGATTAGCATGGAGGGTAACGCACACGCTTGCGTTGGCTTGGCTTTCTTGATTCTGTCCATTTTTATTTTCATTTTTTCATAATCTGAACTTTATTCGTATATTGATCTGATAAAAGAAAATCAAGTATTTATTTTCAACAATCAAAATATATAGTTCAATGGACGATAGTGTGTCCCGATTATTTAGGGAAATTTTTTGAATAAATACTTTTTAAAAAAAATATTATGAGTATAACAAAAAGTTTTTTTTTTTCAACTCTAAAAATACATTTGACAAATTGAAGAGAAAAAAACCTCTACATTTACTGTATTTCTACCAAACAAATCAGTTTAAGAATTAAAAATATTTAAACAGTTTTTTCAAAGGCCTTCCCAAACATACTAATATTGTTCTAAATTTGCTTATCTTGCAACTCATCACAATAAATGGAATTGACCACCACTATAAAGATGAAAAATTATCCTAATTTCTTCTTATAATGAGATTTTTTTGAAAATCAAATATTTCAAAAAATAAAAATCTTTAATCTATTGCAACAAAATTTAAATCAATAAAGGGAATTAGAAATAAAATTGTTGAATCCAATGCGCAATACTACGCAAAGAACAAAACAAAACAGTAAACATTGATGTAGAAGTAGATTAGTGTAAAACTAGTTTGTCTCCCGCAGCGCGTAAAGGTTTCCATTATTCAAGGAAAAGTCAACACAATGGTACGAATGACAAGTCATCAATTCCTTGACGCAGAAGGTGTTGATTAATTCATGAACAAAAGTATCTTTGTCTTGTCATGTCAAAGGTATATGTTATAACATAGTTGCTGCAGCAGTAAAAATAATAATTAATAAATAAATCATCACCCTGAAGATAAAACCATCATATCCGTTTGAACAGTAAATATATCGGTTCTTTTAGTTTTATTTTTAGTAATAATGAGTTTAAAGATACATTAACAGTGAATATATCGATCCTTTTAGTTTTGTTTTTAGTAATAATGAGTGTAAAGATACATTAACAGTGAACATATCAGCTCTTTTAGTACTTTAGTAATGTTCGAGGGCAATAAGCAACAGCATTCGTTCATCAAAACATGTTTATTTCATCATATCGCATCACTAGAATTATACATAGAAGAAGCATAATTGCTAGCTAGCTCTATCAGCCACTAAAAATGTCGCCGGCGTCCAAGCAACAATCGCCAATAAGGCAGCAAAAACGCAAAGCTGCAAGGCTGTAACAACAAATGTAACCAAACAAACACATTAAAAATCCAAGAATTATTACCAAGAATAATTATACATGTTATGCCAAATAAATAGACTACCACAGCAAGACAAATAAAACTGGGGTAATCCTTTTTCTTATTGTTTGATGTGTTTTAATTAATATAATTAAATCAGTATAAAATCCTAGCCGATCTGTACTTGATAGCTTCTTTACTGAATGAAATTCGAGTTTTAATGAATTTAGTTTATTTGATCATTATTTAAAAAAAAAATAGTGTCTTTGGTTGAGTAACCTAACATCACAGACCTTCCGATGAATAATAATAATAATAAAAAAAAGGTTAAAGAAATTACCATCCTTTACGGAACCCATGCTTTCTCCGGGGAGGTGGAGGAACATTTGGAGGTGCCGCCACGGGAGGATAATAACCTGCCAAAAAAGGGCAGAGAAAAAAATAAAATAAAAACGAAACAACAAAACAAATTAAATCCATAAAGAAAAACTTTTCATCAGGACATAAATCAATTGTCTAGAATTAATTCCTAAAGAGAATCCCTTATATAGACGGAAAATTAACAGTTTAAACAGGAAGGAAAAGAAATTAATGTCATAATTAACTAGAAAAAAGAAGAAAAACCCATGTATATATATATATATATATATATATGCTGCTCAAACCTGCATCGTTGACAGGAAAGAGAAAGAAAGAGAAAAGCAAATACATGGTTGTAAAGATGAGGAAGATAAATGATTACCTTGAGCAGGGTGAGGATAAGCATACTTGGGATCACTCATCTTGACTAAGATCAATGATCTACTCTCCAGAATTTTAGATTTGAAGATTGAAGGGACAACGGTGTTTTGAGAGTTAAGTTAGCTTGAAGTAGAGAATTTCTGGTATAAGAAGAAGATGTTGTGATAAACTAACGATGCCACGTTTGTTGATTTGGTTTTTGTATCAAACTGATTACATCGAGATCCTTCTACATTGATCTGTGTGGATATTATAGTATGCTTTGCCTACGTCTTGGCGTCTCGTTTTAATTTTCGGTGCTAGTAAGGTTGTCTTCTTGTCATTCTCTGAAAATATTTCATGGGAGAGACGACCCCGGAAATTCCATGAAAACTTTCAAAAAGTTATCATTTACTTCACACTTGAAAGACCCAGTAGCCGACGTCCAAAGGTTCTCCTTAAATATTCGTTCCATTTTGGATGTTGGACTGGCAGTTTCAGCCAATGGCACAACTTGGAAGGATGAGCCCGATGAATTGCACATTCCTATTGGCTATTGCTGAGTCAGCATCTGCGAGCTATTATAACTAGATATCGGAATTTCCTCCTTTTTTTTTTTTTTTCTTTTCCTCCTTGCAAATGAGAAACTTGAACCTGAGATATTTTTTACGGGAGGAGAAATATGAAAATATCTTAAGTTTTTTAGGAATACCGACTAATCCATATTCTGTCTATTTTAAATGGAACTATACTAGTCATTTACATGCTAAGTTGTGAGTTTGATAGGAAAAAATCATTTTAAAAATCTTCATTTAATTTTAAGGTTTCTCTGCATTTGAACATGTACTTTTTAAATTTTTTATTAAATCAATTTTTTTTACTTGATTGAAAACTTCTATCATTTAAAATTTTTTATTTCAAATTCTCTATTATAAAAACACCAATCAATAATCTATATATTGATGATGTTATAACAGAGGATCGGAAGCAAAAAAATCTAAAAAAATAGACGGTCTTAATAAGTTTAAAAATAAATAAAAAATTTTAATTAAAAAATTAGAAAAGTACAAAATTCTTTGAAAAAACTTTTGTGTATCATGTATCATTTATGTGCTGTATAATAGCTGGTGGATTATTTAAAGCTATCGTTAGTTTCTGTATAAAAATAGAAGAAGAGTGCTCAAGTGATTAAATGCTGAATGGATCTTCAAATTCCATGTTGAAAATACCTCCTTCTTTTTTTAATCTTTTTTTTTTTTTTTTTCAAAAATTGGAGCAATCTATCTGTATTTTGGTATCCTGCTAAGTTTATGCTGAGTGATGTAGTCTCCTTTCTTGGGCTGGACTTGTAAAGTTCTATGATACAGTGACACTTCCAGCCTAAAAATAGAATACATGAATTTTGAATCAATTACCACTAAACATGAATAGAGTCGAATGAAAAAAATATCAATACTAATTGTTTATTATGTGAAAATATTAATAAGGATCGGGATCATTTATTTTTTAAATGTTCTTATTCTAAAATTGTGTGAAATGCCATTCTTTTTAAATGTGAATTTCATAGAGTAATTAATAACTGAAGTATAAAATTACAGTGGGATAGTAAAATATTTTTAAAAGAAAATTTTTTAATCTATTATTATCAAATTAACATGGAATGCAACCATTTATGATTTGTGAAAACAAAGAAATTATAAGATCTATGGTAAAAATGTTTCTTCTCCAGATGAAGTGACAAAATGGATTTGTCGATTGTTCGTTACAAGTTATATAATTCAAAACTTCTAACTAAAGCAATGCTTAATTCAACATTTGAATATATTTATATTCAATAGATGTTATCTTAATCTGTTTCATGTATTCGTTATGAATTCATGTTTTGTAGTAAGGTAAGGTCCTACTTGTATTTTTTTTTTTTTTATGAATACAAAATTTCATTTAACAAAAAAAAAAAAAAAAAGAAGCATTGGTTGAAAATTGATGAAATAAATAATTTCTTGAAGTAAGCATTAACTCACTAATTTAGAAGGAACTGTGATAATAAAGACGGGCCATGCATCGTCTATATTCTTTCAAGCGGACCCTCAGAGATTGCTTGGAGTGGGCTGTTCAACCGGCCTATCACTGCAGGCTGCACACATGGCCCATAACTTTTGGTTTCCATTTTTACGTACAACTTTTGATTTACACCCTGTATAATTTTTTCTTTTGATTTTAATCCATAAACTATTAGTAGTTTCGATTGGGATCCCCTTATATTCGGATCCTATCACTATAAGTGACAACACCACCACCAAGTGAAAGCTTTTACATGTTCATTCATATAAATCTCGAACCCAACCATTATTTGAGATTAAGAATTGAAAATTATTTAATATAAAAACTCAAAACTCAAAAATTTGTATTTGATTTGAGTTTTAAATTGATTTTTAATTTTGAAATATTGTTTGTTAGGTGAAAAGAACTGAGTAAGGTGGACCGAGCCATAGCTTACTTCTGGGGTATTCAATTTGCTAGGCAAAAAGGTCAAGTCATCCACGGAAAAGAAAAGTCCTACCTAAATTGTTTTTATTCTCAATAGTTCATGTATTGAAAAAAAAATTTACAAGGGTGTAAATCAAAACTACTGATAGTTCAAGGATTCTCTGTACGTTTTAGTCCATTGTTTTTATTCTCTTTTCTTTTCCTTTTTATCTTTTATTCTTGGGTTAATTACTTGCCAAAAACCAAACGTAAGTTGAAATTGGAGATTTGAAGAACTCCATCCTGGAGGGGGAGCCTTCAAAGGACTAGAAAAAGCTATTGAATTTGTCAGGATTTTTGAATTTCTAGTTATATTCTATGATTATGTATGTTTGGATTCTTGTTTTTTTAGTGAAATACTTGATATAAAACTATAGGTTATCTACCCATTTGTGCTTTTTCTTGAAACTACAATTTGATAAATAGATAAATAAATAAGAAACATTCTATGATAAAGAAAATTTTCGAGATATCTTGTGTATCAATAAAAAATAAATCAATTTTCATTTGTATTTTTACATGTTGTTTTCATTTTTTCTAAATCACTTCACATTAATTTTAATACAATTGTCAATTAATTCATATAATTTAATTTAAAATAATGAATTTATACAACGAGCAATGGGTACTCTTGAAGATATTAAAATTTCTTCTAATTAACCCGATTAAGAGTACAAGAAATACAATTATTTTTTTCGGAAATTAAGAAATACCACTCATTTCAACCACAAGGAGGCTTGGGGATGCAAATGTATGCGTTTGCATTTTTATAAATCAAAAGATTGTGTTGTATTTTTTGTTTTTTAAAAAGTATGTAGATAGATTAATTAATGTGCTTATAACACCACCTAGCTAAAATATGATATAATGAAAATGAAGGATTTTAGTTTTGAGTTAATTAGTGTTGGGAAAATCTACATTAAATAATTATTTGGATCTGTATTCGTGGTGATTTAAACATAAGGATGTACTCTACTCTAATCCAAAATTCCATTTGGTGAACCGTTATCTTGTGTTTTTTTTGTTTCTTTTTTCTTTTCTCGATGAAAATCTTTCTTTTCATCACTCTCGTTTTCATAGGCAAGAAAAATAATAATTATCTCACTTAGCTAAAAAAGCACCACATGTTCCAGATCAAACGTTGGTCAAAGCAAGTAAGGCAAGGTGAAGACACTCTACTGGATCAACTAGGTCGAAAAGCGTAGTTCACCAAATGGTCCATCCTACTGTATACACAAGGCAAGATTTGCGAAGGCATACTTTGCCAAATAGCTAACAAGTTCCGAGAAAAGCAAACTTTAGATCTGAATCTAAAGTCTGAGAGTTTCAAAGAGACAAAGGGTAGACACAGAACCTGAATCTAAAGTATGAGAGTTTTAAAGAAACAAAAGGCATAAATGCTCTAGTCCACCTAAATTATATAATATAAAAAAAATTAGACAAAAAAAAAAAAAAAAACAATTGACGCGACATGAAATTGTCTCTCCCATAAATCCCACCAGGTAGGATCTTCTCATGATTATAAACTTTTTTCTTGTGGTCTCATAGCTACTGGGCCTAAAACACTAAAAGTACGTTTTATATCTTATAATTTTCATTATATAAAAGGACATTTTCTGCAAAATAATTTACAGAAAGTAGCAGCAAGTATAAGAAAGTATAACTGATTTGGAGATGTTTATGCTTTCTGCCTTGTAGATGATGTGAATATTTGGTGAGAGTAAATTTTATGTTTAGCAACATTAGTATTTCAAAGACTTCATAAATTTCTTTGCTTTCTTTCTTCAACTCTCCATTTCTTTTTGTAAAAAAGAAGGTCTTGAAAAGTTGATTGCCGATGTGAACAACATATATATTCAACTTATTTGCAGAGAATATATATCCAATTTCCAGATTTAGTAATGTATTACATAATCATTCTTGCAACTTCACACAATAAACAAGCAATTGTAAAATAGTTTACTAAATGAACCATGGAACCTGGTTCCAATCTTAGAGCATTCAACATTGACGTCGGAAGGGAGACCATGGTGCTAATAAAGGACACACACTAGCCACACCAGTTCTTAGAGAAAAGAAGATCTACGGGTCACACAACCGCAGCTCCTGGTATAAAAAATGAAAATCAGAAAATCATGAGTCAAATATGAAAAGTTCAATAGATAGAAAAGAAGAGATTTACAAGCAAATACCTAGCCGGCTTTTTTAAGAATGAGAAGTAAATTCTAGCTCTGGAATTTCTGCAACAATCTCGCCTTACTCACTGCTAGTCTCATGCACAGCCAGTCCCATGATTCATCCAAGAGCAGGAAATAGGCATGCCTCCAAGAACGCTTCAGCAGTAAAGCACCTGAAACTCCCCAAAAGAAAATACCAAAACTGATTCCAATTGTAGTATAAAACCATTTGCTGAATTCATCAACATTTTCTTCATTTCCTTGTCTGTCATCATTAGCTTCTGGACTTTGAGGAGAAACATCTTCAGGGCATTTCAAAGTGAGTGGCAGCCCGTACAAGGCCAGATTACCAGTAAATGCCGAGGAATTGAAGCTCTGAAGCTGAGTGCTTGATGGAATTTTCCCAGAAAAGTTATTGTAGGAGAGGTTCAAGTAATTCAAAAAATTTAGAGCAGCCATGGTGGATGGGATTAAACCTGATAACTGATTTCCTGACAAATCAAGCGATTCTAACTGTCTCAAGTTCCCAATCTTTTGAGGGATTACTCCAATCAAATTGTTTCCTGACAAGTTCAGTGCAACCAACTCTGGAAGATGCACCATTTCTTCCAGAATTTCTCTAGTTAGTCTGTTGCATGCAAAATCAATAATCCTCAGAAGTCCAAGATTCCTTTCATACTCGTATAGCCTTCCTTTCCATTCAACCCATGCCTTATTAACATAGATGTTTCCATAATAGTAGTAACCACCAGTAGTAATGGTGCTTTTGGATTCCCTTTTCTGGACCATGTCACTGAAGTTGTTGAGGCAGTTCGAAATGATTCCAGAGATATTGTTTAAAGATAGGTCTAGGATCTGAATTTTTGTTAGCTGACATAAATGTGGAGGTATGCTTTCATAGAACTCATTAGACTGCAAGGAAAGGAATCTCAGAGATGACATGCTTCCTCCAATCCAAGCTGGTATTTCTCCATGGATCCAGTTTCCACTAAGTTCTAAAACATCCAACCCATTACAATTTTTCAACGACAAAGGTAATTCTCCGGAGAAACTATTGTTGTGTAAACTCAATGTTTGAAGCGAAGATATTGATCCCATGGAGCTGGGAATTTCACCTGAAATGTTGTTGTTAGCCAAACTCAGAACTATCAAACTTTCCAAATGCGTGAAACAATTAGGAAGTTGTCCAGAAAATAGGTTATTTGAAAGGTCGAGGAAGCCTAAAGACCCATCAGCAATCTTACATATAACAGAAATTGGCCCCGACAACATATTGTTTGAGATATCTAAGGATATCGTGTCAGAAGGAAAAAGTGGCATTGGACCCTCAAACTGGTTGAAACTCAAATGTATTATAGATAAGGTAGGATGTTTTGACGAAAAATCTGGCAGCACTCCACGCAACTAGTTGTGAGAAATATCTAAGAAATAAATGGGAGCTAGACCCCAAAACCATTCAGGAATGGTATCTGAAATTTTAGCACCAGAGATATCAAGCTCCAAAACAGCAGTTTGAGTGCGTAGCTATTTAGGAAAATGAGGCCCCATTTTGCAGGACCTGAGATGCAAGCCTTTCAATTGAAAGAGAGGAACTCAACTAGATGGAAATTCCAAAGCCAGAGAGTTGTCAGATAAATCTAAATTTTGTAATTTTGAAAGATTTGAAAATGAGCTTCAGTGATAACACCTTGCAAGGAATTCCCTCTAGCATACCATCTCTCAAGCTCGAATAGGCTTCCAATACTTTCAGAAACATTGCCATCTAGTTGATTGTCATTAAGATTCAACTCCCTCAATGATGTGAGCATTGTAACATCAGTTAATGACCCCTTCAATCGGTTACTTTGCAAACTCAAGGAAACAAGTCTAGAAGGGTGTCAGAATCTTTTCGGTAAAGTGCCATTCAACTGATTATTAGAGAGGTCCAATTCTCTCATCGAAATGAATCTTGTAATGTCAGGCAATGAACCATGAAGTTAATTCTCCCTTAAACTCAAAATCTCTAGCGAGTTCTCTGTGCATCCATACAAGTTCTTAATGAACTTATTAGAAAGATGCCCGATGAACTTGTTCCCACCTAAATCAAGTGTGCGTAAGCTGCACTTCTCCCCTAATGATCTTGGAATGCCACCTTCAAGTTGATTAGAGAAAAGATACAGGTTTCCAAGAGAGGTCATGTTTCTGAAAGCATCTGGCATTGAACCTTGTAACTCGTTATAAGACAGGTCAATATCAACAAGGCTGTTACCAAAGTTGGACAACCAGTGGAATATTGAAGAAGCAAGATTGTTGTAAGAGAGATCAAGAACAACAAGAGATTGAGAAGAATTTATATAAGAAAGAGACGAAGGAATGACATTTGAGAGTTGACAAACACTTAAGTGCAAGTCTTTTAGGTTGGGGAGCTTGTTAACAACTTGAAGCCAGTCACTGGCCTGGCTAAGGTCAATATCACTCAGGTCGAGATGCTTCAGAGAAGAAAGATTATAAAGCAAGTCAAGACTTCCAAAAGTAACACCAGAGTTATGACTGAGATCAAGATACTGCAATCCTGAGAGGTTTTGAAGCTGATTTGAGAGAGTTCCAATTAAGTTATTGTAGGAGAGTCTCAGGTATCTTAACCTGCTTAAGGACCCAATGAAATATGGAAAGGGACCTCCTCCAAAATCATTATTACTCAAGTCCAAATAATTCAAATGCTGCAACTCAAGTAATGAACTACTGATCTTACCTCTTAGAGGCTTGTAATCATCCTCCAAAGGGGTAGATGTGACTTGAAGATCAAGCAAAGTAACATGACCAGTTCTGTTGTTGCAGCCAACTCCTCTCCATTTGCAACAATCACTCTTCTCTTCTTCACTCCCCCAGGAAGAAAGAGCACCAAAATCATCCTCAAGTTCTTGTTTAAACTTGACAAGTGCTTGTCTCTCCCTGTCTATACACCTGAATTTTTTCCCTTCTCCTCCTGAAATGAGCCCAGGAGTAGGTTTGATGTGCAATAAAAGCACAGTAAGCACATGAAGAAGCTGAAAATTGGACCTTCTGTGCATTATCACCAAGAACAAGATCAAAATCAAGATGAGTCAAAAGCACAAGCTCCTTTTAAAAGGATCCCATGAGAAGAGGTGGAAACTGACTCATTTTTGTGAAAAAGGTCTTCATATATGGGCTTTATTTTATTATTTTCGTTACTTTTCTTGCACATGAATATATTTGTCGTCAGGCATTCTCTTACACGCTCAACGTGTGAGACAAAAACAATCTAGTCATCTCAGTCTTTGTTAATTAATTCTCAGTTGGCTTTTAATCAAAGAAGTATTGCCTTTTGGATAAACAAACTTGCAAATGGGTATTGAAAAAGGCATAAGAACATCTCAAATTTGTTAGAAAAAGGTTTACTTTAATATTTGGTGGTGTCCTCCCTTAAAATTTGTCAGTAACGCATAAGTAAGAAAATAAAGTGAAAAAAAAGAACAATCACACGACATAAAGTAAAAAAACAAAAATAATCACATAACGTAAAGATTTATATAGTTTAGCAATCGTATTTACTCTACGACTACATTAGAATTTCTTAATAATATTTTATCAAGTGGCGATATCAAATATAAGAAATGTTGTTCCGTATTTATAAAGTGAACAATTAGGATTATAATAACAAAGGCCTAATAGATCTTTACACCTCACCTAATAGACCTAAACAAAATTATTGTCTGTGTAGCCTTCCAAACCACGAGTTATATCTAAATTAGTCTCCACAACTTAACCATACATGACATATGTCCATTTAATGCTTCAAGCATTGCAATAAAAATTTCTTTGATTTATAATTGTCTTTTTTTTTTTTCATTCTTTATTGTTTTTTGCCTTTTCTGTTTGTTGTGTCAAGGTGTTTTTTTATAAAAAAATTACGTTGCCCAAATCTCAAAAGATATTCAACCACTTACTCATAAAAATTGTTTCATCAAATCCTTTTAATACAAAAAAAAAAAAATTGATTGAGTTCTTGCATGTTAATAATTTGCTTGTTGTGATTACCCTGTTTGTAATACCATAAAAAATGAATAACATTTATACTATTTATGCAATATACATGTGTTGATATGTTGATTTAGTTGACTCATATGTTAATTCTATTATGATTTAATAATTTTGGATCTATAGTATTCAAATTACGTAATTTGAATCTCATAGTAGTGGAGATTAGGCAAATGTGATCCAAATTGTCCATTCTTCGTTATATGTAATGGTAAATTGGATTGATCATTACTTGAAATATTAAAACGACGTTATTTTACATTCGTCGTTAATTATGTTATATATATATATATTACAAATATTTTTAACCTCCTAATCTTGAATTTTTTTCCTTATAAAATATTATATGTTATAAATTATATACAAAAACATTTTTATAAATATTTTCAACCCCTTAATTTTGAACTTTTAATTTTTTTTAATAAAATATTATTGTAAAAAATATATATATAATTAACAATACACAATTTCAGGCTTTTAAAAAAATTGAAAATGAAAATGAGCATAATTAAGGGTTGACCCCCTAATTTTATAAATTTTAATTTTTATTTATAAAATGTTTATTATATTTTATATAAAAAAAATCAAAATTAGGAGGTTAAAGATATTTATAAAATGTTTATAATATTTTATAAGAATTTTTTTTAAAAAAAAGTTCAAGATTAAAGGATTAAAAATATTTTTAAAACTGTTTTCTTAAAACATAATTAATAGTAGAATGTCAAAATAAAGTCATTTTAGCATTTCAAGTAACAATCAACTGGATTGACTATTATAGATAACGAAGATTGAATAATTTGGATTACATTTATCCAATCCTACTAGTTTAGGGTTCAAATTACATGAATTGGTACAAAGGATCGAAATTGCCAAATCGTAATAGAATAGAGATAAAATTTACCATTAAACCTATTTAATTTAAACAAAGGAAGTATACATTGAGCGAGTAGGCAATCTAGAAGTATTGAAATTTCTTGTAACTAACCCAATTAAGAGTACAAGGAATATAATTATTTTTTTCGAAAATAAAGAAATACCATCATTTCAACCACAAGGAGGTTTGGGGATGCAAATAGAGAAATTTTATAATACACAAGGAGTAATTAGTGGAATATACAAGTATTTACTCCATAGATCCACTTTGAGAGAGAGATAGACAAACCAAAAAAAAGAGGAACAAATTACATTCGGACCTACTAAAAATGATAAAAAGATTTTCACGTCCGCTCAAATTTTTTTATTTTCTCTTTTTTTTTTGTTGTATCTATCTTTCTCCTCAAATGGAGCTCATGGAGTAACTATTGTACATGTCATTAGTTACTTTTTATGTATTATAAAATTTCTCATGCAAATGTATATGTTTGAATTTTTACAAATCAAAATATTGTGTTTGTCTTTTTTGTTTTAAAAAGTATGTAGATAGATTAATTAATGTGCTTATAGCACAACCTAGCTAAAATATGATACGATGGAAATGAAAGATTTTGGTTTTGAGTTAACTAGTGTCGGGGATATCTACATTAAATAATTATCTAGATTTGTATGCATGATGGTTTCAACATAAGGACGGACCACGTTAATTCAAAATCCTATACTAGTGGGTTATAGGTCTTTCTCGTATATAAACACTTTATTTTTCTCATTTTTTTCAATATAATATATTTATCACTTACATATGTACCTAATAAATCTCCTCCTCACGTGCCAGTTTGATCCGTTCGAACATATTTTTTTCTTTTCGAGTGCGACAGTTACCGTCCAGGAGTCTTTGCTTGTGCCATCAAGAGCTCATCACACTTTCAAGAGTTTGCTCATCGAGGAGTCTTTGCTTGCCCTTTGCTCCTAATCTAGGAGTTGCATCTTCCTACTCCATAAGCCATCTATACCGCTCTTCATCCAAGAGTCCAACTACCTCTTCACATTTATCTTGGGGAAGTAGCTGTGAAAGTCAATTCACATTCTCTACGTACTAATCTTAGCCAATTGGTTATGCAAACACTTGTTGTATTTACTTGTGCCAACAAACCATCAGCTCTATTACCATTTGTTGGGGAGATCTGCAAGGGAGAGTTACTTGAGCTTGTACATAGACCCGCACATGTTAGGGTTTAAATATAAAGATGAGCACAATTTTAACTCAAAACTTTAGCCTAATGGGTTATTAGTCCATCTCATACGTAAACACTCATTTTTTCCCCTTCTTTTTTGAAGTGGAATATTTTAACACTCACATGTATATGCAACAATTAGGTGATGACACTGATTTTGTCTTATAATCTCTTATTATGGCTTCTGATTATGTAACACTTGGTAGCTTAGTAAATTAATAATAATAATAACTCGTATAAATTAATAGATTATGAATCCATTTTCTATATAAACACTTTATTTTTCTTTTCTTTTCTTTTTTTCAATGTGAGATACTTATCATTTACATATACATTCAACAATCAGATGATGACACGTGACTTTCTCTTATGATATCTTATTATGACTAAAAAAATACATAGATCATTATTATATTCTTAATCCTAAGAGATTATTGTTATCTGAACTGTCATCTTGTGTTTTTTTCTCCTTTTCTTGTTTGTTTTTTTTTTTTTTCAATGAAATTAATCTTGCTTTTCATCACTCTCGTTTTCATAAGCAAGACAAATAATAATTATCTCCCTTAGCTAAAAAAGCACCACATGTTCCAGATCAAACGTTGGTCAAAGCAAGTAAGGCAAGATGAAGACACTCTACTCAATCTACTAGGTCGAAAAGAGTTCAACAAATGGCTCATCTTACTATCTATATGCACAACGCAAGATTTGGGAAGGCATACTTAGCCAAATAGCTAACAAGTTCCAAAAAAAAAAAAGAAGAAGAAGAAAACGCTAGATCTGAATCTGAAGTCTTGAGAGTTTCAAAGAGACAAGGGGTAGACACTGAACCTGAATCTAAAGTATGAGGGTTTTAAAGAAACAAAAGGCATACAAATTCTTCTAAAAATCTTGAATTGTATCTTCGAAGCTCTAGTCCACCTAAATTATATCATATAAAAAAAAAATTAATTTGTAGACAAAAAAACAATTGACGGGACATGAAATTCTTGCTCTCCCACAAATCCCACCTGCAGACCTGCTTGGATCTTCAATAATTATAAATTTTTTTTTTCTTGTGGTCTCATAGCCACTAGGCCTGAAACACTAAAAAGTATGTTTTATATCTCATAATTTTCATTATATAAAAAAAATTTCTCCTTTATTAAAGACAATGCCAATAATATTTTATATGATTCTAAAAAAACAACTCTCTCTCTTTCTTTTGTATGTACAGTATATTAAAATACTAACTTAATCACCGGAGGAGGCTTATTAGAGGATTCTTTGACAGCACAAACATTGGTGCATGTGCTCTATGCTCGTAAGACTTATAAAGACACCATTAATATTTTTCGAACTCTTTAAAAAGATTGAATACCAAGTATAATCAATCAAGATGTTCAAAATTTTGTGCATCATTATCTAGGTTTCTTATTTATTGTAAAACAATTTCTCTGTATAAAATTAAGAAGAGATGCTTATTAAATATAGATTTCCCAAAATTAAAAATAAGCCTTGTTTGCTTTACATTAAAAATAATAGAAGAAGTGAACGTAAAAACTCAAGCGAACTAAAGAAAAACCTTAATTTTGTAATGAAAACATTGGAAAACTTCTTCTTTCTTTCTTTCTTCTTTTTTTTTTATTATTAATGTTTGGTCACCGACAATTGCATTTTAATTTTTCCCATCACCGCCCCGTGCCCCGAACGGGGATCCTCGTCCCCACCCTCCCCGCCCCTAAAAAATTTTTCCGTCCTCGCCCCGTGCCCCGAACAGGGCAAAATTTCCCGTACCATCCCCGCCCGAAACGGGGATTGGGATCCCCGCGAGGCAAACGGGGCAAAAATTATTATTTTTTATTTTCGTTTCATTTTATCCAATTTTACTATGAATTTTTAAATTATAGTAAAAAAAAAAGATAATTTATATAGAAAATAAACATTAAAAATCACTAATTATAGATTTTATATGGAGTATAATTATAATTTTAATGAAAAAAAAGAGGCAAACGGGGCGGGGCGGACAAATCCCATCCTCGCCTCATTCCTCGATCAACACGGAGAATCCTCGCGTTGACCGGGGAAAATTGACCCGGGGTGGGGGCGAGGCTCTATTGGGGCAGGGCAAATTGCCATCCCTAATTCTAAGAGATGACTAGCCATTGGCTTCTTTATTTTTTTATTTGGTAAAATTAGAATGTTTTACACTAATGTTATTACTTATTTTAGGAAAGAATAAAATCTGACTATAATGTGCATAATTAAAAAGAAAAACGATTCCAAGAGAAATTAATTGGTATCATGAATCTTCTACGGACAATAAAAAAATTATTTTCTTATTCGTTAAATATTTTATACAGTTTTTGAAAATTAATTTATCTCGTGAATATTCAATAGCAATAGAAGAAAATTATTCTTTTTTACAATTTCTCATACAATCTTTTAAAAATGATGAAAACATATTTTTGCTTTTTGATTGAAACTCTCTCTTAAAATTACAATAAAATTTTATTCAAAATCAAAGTATAAGGAAAAATAAATCCTTTTTTAAGAAATAAAATTCATAAAATTGGCCAAGAAAACTTAATCAAATACAAAACTTGATGATTAATTATAAAATTGCATAGATTTTTTTTTGGAATATATTGAACTTATTTAAAAAAAATTCGGATTTGAATTTAATAAAATAAATTTTTTAAAAAACAAAAATATTTTATCAATTACAAATAGAATAAAAATTAATACTAATACTATATATGTATTTTACAATTACTATTTTCAAGTGAAAAAAATTGAATAAATAAATTTTAGAAAACATATTATGAATACAATAAAATGTTTCTATTGATCTTTCAACTCTAAAAATACATGTGACAGATTAAAGAAAAAAAAACCCTAAATGCTATTAGTTTTGTAACATATAATTTATTGATTTGATATACATTCCATCTACTTTATTTCTACAATCAAACTTAATTTCAGTTTAACCTGATTGAATAAAAAAATTAAACAATTTTTTTAATGGCCCTCCCTAACAAACTAGTCTTGACTCATAATATTATAACGACAAGTAATACAAGCATGAAAAGTATATACAACATAATTTGAATCATATAATATAATATTTTAGTCTATTAAAATCTGTAGTTGAGCGTTTTGAGTACTATGAGTCATAATGGCAATTTTAGCAGCGATAGGAAAGAGTTGGGGCTAGAATTTGTTTTATATAATGAATTTTATTAGTTGCTAACCCAGGAATGTAAAATATAACGTAAGAAAAATTAGGATGAAGTATTATCACGTTCGAACTGTAAAAAAAAAATTGATTACCATGGGTTTGATTCTAAATGAGGGATGGGTAGACCAATTGTTAACAAAAATAAATTGGCAAGAAATTATAATTATAATTTCCTCCAATATTTTCAATTAAATTTAATTTGCTATGTATAATATTTAATTTCTTGAATAATTTGTTTATATATAATTTTATTATGACATGCAATGTAAAATTTCAATAACTAGATGTTTTTTTTTAAAAAAAAAAATAGAATTGATGCAATAGAATTTCACCATCACTCAACGATTAAGTCAAATAACAATCAATATTCTGTGAGAGAGATGTGTACTTGTAGAAGTTGTTGTGATCATGAAAAAATTACAATATAATCTGCATTTACATACTATGAAATGAATAATATATACGTGACTTCAAGCCACAATTAGTTCAGCTATCATGAACTTTAGCCGTATATTGATCTGATAAAAGAAAATCAAGTAATTATTTTCAGCAATCAACATAGTTCAATGGAGGATAGCATGTCACCTATTTTCGAGGGAAATTTTTTGAATAAATAAATTTTTTAAAAAATAATATGAGTATGACAATTTTTTTTTTTTTTAATCTTTCAACTCTAAAAATACATTTGACAAATTGAAGAGAAAAAAGCCTTTACATTTACTGTATTTCTACCATCCAACTCAGTTTAACCTGATTGAATTAAAAATATTTAAACATTTTTTTCAATGGCCTTCCTAAACAAACTGGTATTGTCCTAAATTTGCTCCTACTTGTTGCAAATAGTTACCTCCATTAGCTCTAATATATATATATATATATATATACCACTCAGTTCTTAGGCATTAAAAGATTGATATTAATCATTAGTAGTTGGTGGAATAGAAAAGGAGGTCATCCTGCCATAAGAAACAGAATTGACCATCGTTACAAAAATAAAAAAAACTAAGGCAATAAACAACAGCATTCATTCATTCATTCGTAATCTCTTGTAACAATAAATGTTAAAAACTACTCTAGTTTCTTATTGTCACGAGGCTTTTTAGGGACTCAAATATTTTTTAAAAAAAGATTTGAATCCATAATCTCTTGTAATAAAATTTAAATCAATAAAGGGAATTAGAAATAAAATTGTCGAATCCAATGCGCAATATTACACAAAGAAAGAACAACAGGAGATACATTTACAGTAAACATTGATGTAGAAGTAGATTAGAGTAAAATGTTCAAGCTAGGGCAATAAACAAACAGCATTCATTCATTCACCATATTTATCATATCACATCACCATAATTATTCATAGAAGAAGCATAATAGCAAGCTCTGTCAGCTAATAAAACATGATGGAGGGATCGCAGCAACACTCGTCAATAAGGCAGCAACAACACAAAGCTGCAAGGCTGTGACAATACATGTAACCAAACAAACACAGTAAAAATTCAAGAATTATTACCAAGAATAATTATATTTGTTATGCCAAATACATAGACTACCAGAGCAAGACAAAGAAAACAGAGATAATCTTTTGTTTTTTTTTTCTTGTTTGATGTGTTTTAATCCATATAATTAAATCAGTATAAAATCCTAAAGGTTGTATACTCGATGACTACGAAGATAAAAAGCTACTCTAGTTTCTTCTTGCCATGATGCTTCTTAGAGAGACAAATATTTCAAAAAGAAGATTTGAATCTGTAATCTCTTGTAGTACAATTTAAATCAATAAAGGGAATTAGAAATAAAATTGTTGAATCCAATGCGCAATACTACACAAAGAAATTAAGAACAAAAGGAGATCCATTTATAGTAAACACTGATGTAGAACAAGATTAGACTACAACGTTCAAGCTAGGGCAATAAACAACAGCATTCATTCATTCAGCATATTTATCATATCACATTACCATAACTATTCATAGAAGAAACATAATAGCTAGCTCTATCATCTAATAAAAGAAGATGGAGGGTTCGCAGCAACACTCGTCAATAAGGCAGCAACAACACAAAGCTGCAAGGCTGTAACAATAAATGTAACCAAACAAACACATTAAAAATTCAAGAATTATTACCAAGAATAATTATATATGTTATGACAAATACAAATAAAACAGGGGTAATCCTTTTTCTTTTTTTTTCTCGTTTGATGTGTTTTAATCCATATAATTAAATCAGTACAAAATCATAACGATTGTGTACTCGATAATTTCCTTATTCAATGAAATTGGAGTTTCAATGACTTTAGTTAATTTGATTATTATTTTAAAAAAAAAATGTGTCTTTCCTCGAGCAACCTAAGATCACATGCCTTAATAAATAAATAAAAATAAAGAAATTACCATCCCTCAAGGAACCCAGGCTCTCTCCGGGGAGGTGGAGCAGCATAATATTGTGGAGGTGCCGTCACCGGAGGTCCTTGATAATAACCTGCAAAAAAAAAAAAAAAGCAGAGAGAAAAAAAAAAAACAAAATCCATACAGAAAAACTTTTCATCAGGACATAAATCAATTGGCAAGTGATCCTAAAGAGAATCCCTTATACAGACTGAAAATTAACAGTTTAAACAAAAAGGAAAAGAAATTAACGTCATAATTAACTAGAAAAATGAAGCCAAACCCATGAATACATATATGCTGCACAAACTTGCATCATTGACAGGAAAGAGAAAGAAAGAGAAAAGAAGTACATGACTGTTAAGATGAGGAAGATAAATGATTACCTTGAGCAGGGTAAGGATAAGCATACTTGGGGTCACTCATCTCTACCAAGACTATCTAGTCTCCAGAATTTTAGATGTGAAGATTAAAGGAACTATGGTATTTTAGGAGTTAACTAGCTAGAAGCAGGGGATTTCTAGCATATGAAGAAGAAGATGTTGCGAACTTGTGATAAGCTAAGGATGATGTATTTGTTGATTTGGTTTTTGTATCAAACTCACCCACTCTACCACTATTAGCATCACATCGAGAACCTTCTACACTGTTTTTGTGTGGATATTATATTATGCTTTACCTAAAGAGTCACTCCATCTCTCGCTCTCTCACAAACTATTCTTTCTTTTTGCTTTTTCATTTTCATTTCAGACTCGGTTGCTTATGTTGTTACGTTTATCCGGTTTGTCATTCTCCGAAAATGATTGGGCAGTTTTTCCGTGGCAAATGGGTGCTATGACGTGGAAGCTGCCAATTGTTTTGCAGAGGTGACCCGAAAGGTCGGCTGCCCGAAGCAAAAGTCAAGAAAGGTCTTTCAATTCAATTCTATAAGATATTTGGAAAAAGAATGAAAGTTTATTTTTATTTATAGTTGTTTCATTGAAAAAAATAAAATAGATATGAAAATTGTTAATAAGAATAAGAATTAAAATTATATATGGCTTCATTCATATGTAAAAAATAAAAATAAAAATAAAAAATAAAAATAATTTTTTTAAAAAATAATAATATAATATTTTTATTTATTATGTATTAATTACTTCTACAATCATCATTGTCACTACTACAATCATCACTATCACTATCACCATCATCATAAATACTAAACCACAATTATTATTTTTACTATTATTAATTCATTGTAGTTGATGAAATTATTTTTTAATTATTTTTTAATTCATATTAAAAATCAGATATTAAAAAATTTAAATTTCATTTTGATTGCTTATTAGTATTCTAAACATAATATGAAAATATAATCATCATTCTAATTTTTTTTTTAATTTTGATTTTTATATTCTCATTTCAAATATTTCATTTCTGATAAGTAAATGACACCTAAAGGATGTGTTTGATATTTTGCACAAATGATTGAATTTGATAATACAAGTTGTGCAATAATTACTACGAACATTAAACAAATCAGATGTTTGGTGCATGCAAATTCTTGTTCCGTCCAAAGTAGTAAAATCATTATCCCACTGTGAAAGGTGAAAAGTTCGTCGAATACTATAAACAAAATCATTATTTTTATATAAATTATATTATTTGTTATTTATTTATCACTCAGTTATTTTTTAATTCACTTAGTTAAAGTTTGACCAAGTTTATTTATTATTTTTTAATGAATTTTTAAATATAGAAGTTTAATTGTAAGAAAAATTAATTCAGGAACTAAATTACATATAAGAAAAAAAAATTAAATTAAGACTAAAATGTCATGGCAATAAATTATAAGGACTTAAAAAGTTATTGAAAATTTTTCAAATACCAAAATGAATTTTTGGGAAACTTTCATCCATTATTATCCTTGTCCATACTTAAAACAGGTCAAAAATATGTATTTATCTAGTTTAATCTCATATATTATCTAGTTAAGTCCAATCTAATCTAATAAAACCAGTTCTATTTGTCTTATACTATCCAAGTCCCAAACACACTCCAATTGATGCGCCACGAGACAGCTTGCAACAATCACATCGACTCGGTGCTGTAAATGGTAATACATCGGTAAGATTGGATATCAACTTAAAGCGACGTGTCATTCTTATAACCAGTTAGATGATATCTAATAGTTTAGAATATTATGGCTATGTTTGTTTTAGAAAAAACAAGTTTTATAAGAAAATTAATTTCTAAAAAATTATTTTTCAAAAAATTATTTTCCAAGATCATATTTTTTACCGTTTGGAAATTATATGAAAAAATGACTGAAAAATATATTCCAACATTTACTTGATACGAGAAAATTAAAATATAAAAACTTATATGATTGTTATATCAATAAGTTTTGAGAAAATTTTAAAAAGACATATTCATAATTTCATAATATAAGATACATTTAGAAAAATTTAATAAATTTTCATCGATACTAACTCTAAAATTTTAATTCAAAAAATAAAATGTACTTTTTTAACCATCAAACCAAGTCATCAAAATTACTTGAGACAAAATCAAGTCAATATTCATGTTTAGTAAAAAAAAAAAAAGATTCTAAGTAATCCTAACATTATTATTTTGATAACTCAATTAAGAATTTTTTTTTAATAAATTGAACTGATAATTTAGTCTAAAAAATAATTTTATAAATTATTAGTTATCATTTATAGATAATTATTAATTTGGTCCGAAAAGATTAATGTTGGAATAATTTGTAACTAATTATTCATTACAATTATCAACAAAATTTTACAATTGATTAAAATTACAAATGATTGATTTAATTGCAAATGAATGTGTTGAAAAAATAATGTATTTTTTATGAATTAATTAATTTCAATTTTTTTTACAAAAAATTATGGTCTTGTAATAATCATTTTCGATCATTTATCTATAGCTTAGTTAGTGTCCGAAACAATAGTAAAAAAAAGAGATAAGTTATTGAAATATTTATTATAAAAATAATTTTAAGGTGTAAAAATGATTTTTAAGAATATTTAATATATCTATAAATAAAAAAATCAAATATTAGTAAAGATAGAGAAAAAATAATTGATAAGGAATAATTAAAATTTAATATGATATATTTTAAATAAAAAGAAGATAGAGAAAAAATTGTTAAAATATATCGAGAGAGAGAGATAAGTAACGCGAGAGGGAGACAACTCGTGATAAAGAAAATGCTTTCCTCTTTTGAAACTGGAAAAACATTTTTTCAAAATTACTTTATTATTTTTCATAGATCGGAAATCATTTTTCATTAATTTTTTTCTTGAATGTGAAATAAACACTGAAAAATAGAAAAAGTTCATGCAAACAAACACAACCTCCCATAAACAAACTCTCTCTCCCTATACCACAATGTTCCAAATGACTATATAAATGAACTTGGAAACCAAAACAAAAGTTTGAGATAAAATTATGAATCAAAGTGTAATATTTATTAAAACTTTCATCAAATATTTAGGTAAATACTGAAATTCAAACAAAAATTACAACAATATCACGTAAACAAGGCATTCAAAAAATTACAACAATGTCATGTGAACGGTGAATATAAACGTAAGTAAATAGTGAATTAAATAGTAAAAACTTCATTTTTTTTTTTAGATTTCTTGTTAATATTTGTTCCTAAAATAACAAAATGAATATTTTTCATCAAAGGATCCTAATTAAATTTTTTTAAGCAAATGTTTCTTGGTACTGACCGAATCATAGACCCATTATAATTCAGTGAAAGTGTCTATAAACTTTTTATACATATAATAGCAAACAAATATTTTATATGAATATTCAACATATTATATCATCAATTTCATTTTAAAAAATATTTGAAAATGTCATGTCTTAGATTTGTATCATCACAATTCTTGTGTTCGACTCTCCATACTTTAAAACTCAAGGGACAAAAAAAATAAAATAAAATTAAACCTCAAAGAACAAATATACATCGCCCTTAAAGTAAGAGTCTCATAAGACAGATCACACACAGCAAAGCTCCTATGAACAAGCCAAACAAAAAATACACATCAATGACAAAGACAAGAGGGCAAAAAAAAAAAATAATAATAAAAGTTAAAAAAAAAAGAAAGCAAGAAGAAAAAAACTAGACGTTGCATTTAATGGTCCATGACGAAGGAGAGAGAACGACCAAAAAAGGGCAGCGATAACAAAAAGATAGGAAAAAAATGGTAGATGGCGTAAAAGTAATAGCATAAAAAAATAGAAATAAAAGAGAGAGACAGGAAATTAATGAAGCGTTATGACTTATGATGAAAAAGGACAAAGTAAATCGAAAGCCAAAGAATGAGCGGATGGTGAAAAAATTACAAAATAAACGAAAAGAAAATGATAAAACACTGTAGCAGAAACTGTTCATCGACGTTTTATTTTATTTATTTATTTATTTTTTTTTGCCACAGGCCCATAGTCTCTTTTGCATTTAAGTAAACTTCACTTACGTTTCAGTCCCTCTTTTATAATTTTCTTTTCTTTTAATCATTAAAATTTTATTATATTTGATTTTTGTCAATTACTGTTATTTTTTTCTCTCTCTCTCTTCCGCCAAAGCTCTATTTTCTTTTAGTAAAATTTACTTTCATATTAGTCCCTGTTTTATAATTTTTTTTCTTTTGGTGATTAAATTTTTATTATATTTGATTTTTATCTTTATAATAAATATTTTTAAAAATTTTTAATTTATTTCATTTTAGTCCCTAAAAATTTAAAATAAAAATATCTAATCTCCCCATTGATGCAGTACACATGCCTTTTCTTTACTTTTTTTCCTTTGGTTTTTTCTCTATTTTTTTTCATCAATTTATGTTATTTTTTTATTTGATTGGATGTTAAAATTTTGAAAAATCAATTTTTTCTTTACTTTTTTCATCCATGTATGTTCTTTTTTTAATTGGGTGTTAAAATTTCAAAAAATTAATCATAACTTTTTTTCACACAAATTGATGATTATATAATATATCTTTTTATATTTTGAAATTAACATATACTTCAGCTTATATTACTCTTATTGTTTAAATTTTATTTTTTTGAATTTATCATTTTTTTATTAAAACTCTCATCTAATTAATATTTTTTATGTGAAATTTTATTTATCGATATTATATAATTTATTTTTCTCTATGTTTGAATTTTAGAATAAAATTTTAAAACATAATTTTTTTTCTTTTTTAAAAAATAAATTGGTATAATATATATATATTATTCTAAAATGTTAAAAGTGTATTTCAAATAATTTATCTCGGTTCACTAGATATAGTCAAGACATATAAAACAATTATTGAATCGTTCATTTTATTAAAGATTAACTATATATCTTCCAACATAATACAAATTATTTACTATAAATATTTTTTTAACATTATAGAACCAATTTATTCGAAATAAGATAATTAAAATAATTTTTTAAATGAACCAACCAATTATTCAAATACTGTTTTTTATGCTAATTTTATTGGTTATTTTGTCAATAAATATATATAGATCAAATGCATGTACTTAAAATAATAATAATAATAATCTTCTCGGTAACATTAAATAAGAATAAAATTTTATTTTTTATTGGTTAATTCTTATGCAATTCTATACATTAATTGTAATTTTATTTTTTAAATTCATTCTTATAAAAAATATAATTTTAAAGTATTTTTTTTTTTGAATTCTTAATTAACTTTCATGTTTAAATTATTACAAGTTTTTATTTAAGAATTCCTAAATAAAGAAGAATAAATCATGCTTTTTAAGTAGAAATTTTATGAAAAAAAACAAAAACTAGTAATAATTAAATAAAAAATTATTACATTTTGAAATGATTTTGTTCTATTTACCAATAATGTTGCGTAAATAATTTCAAAAATTATGTTTTCTCATCAGCATTAAATCAAAAAAAAAATTTCATTTGTTAATTTTTGTTAAAATCTGTCCATTAATTGTAACGTTTTTAGGAATACAATATTGCAAAAATTATATTTTTAAAGTTTTTCAATTTTTGATTAATATTTTAGTTAAAATTATTATACTTTTTAATTTTAAAATCAATACATAGAGAATAATGATTTATTTTTTTAAGTAGATAATCTATAAAAGCATTAGAAAAAATTAATTAACTTAAATATTATAATTAAAGAAATGAAAATTTTAAAATAATTTTATTCTACCGAATCCACAGCATAACGTAGGCAATCGGCTAGTAAAATCTAAAATTCACTCGAATGACAAAAGAAAATAACAAGAGAAAAGAAGGGTGTTAAAACGAGTAGATAAAGCAAAAAATACAACAAAGCCGACCCACGAGTCCGTGTCTATAAAACATAGTAAAACACACACAAAGAAAAAAATATATATATGGTAAACAATCATTTCCTTTTAGCATTTTTGTTAATAACTAATAATACTAAAACAAATGAGAATTTACGGATCATGACATTGTGCATTCTCTCATATTTTATTATTTATTTACCATTCATTCTCTCACGTTTCACTATTTATTCACTCTCACATTTCACTATTTATTCACTCGTGCATTTATACCATTTATTTAAAAATATACATTTTGATCTTTCATTTTTTAACATTGTTTTTTTTTTTTTTAATCTGCAAGTTCATTTTGATCCTTGCATGATAAGAGGAGAGAGAATAGAGGAGAGTGAGAGAGAAAGAAAGAGGTGTCGAGGCTCGTTTCGTCCACTCCGTCGATCGAATTTACCACTTTTTGTTCGTCTTGAAAAATAGAATCTGTTTGTGGTGGTGATAATATGTTCGGAGGAGATAGATCGAGATATATATGAAAATATTTTGATTTTTTTATTTGAATTTTTATATTTTTTTAATTAAAATGAGTTTTGAGATTATAAGCAAGTTTGTTAATGTTATTTTTGAGATTTTGAAATGTTTCTTGACAAAAAAAGAAGCTGAATTTTGTTTTGAGAGGCGGAAAGTTAAGAAACCTGATTTTTCTATAACTTTTTTGGTGAAATCGAGGTTATTAGAAATCATAGAGGTGGCCGAAAATAGGAAACATTCATTTTTTTTTCAATTGTACTACTTCAAATATAGCAAATTGTTCAACTAAAATGATACTTGATATCTTATTCTTTTCTCTCTTTTTTTAATTGTTATCTCATATTTTTTATGAGTTATAAGATCTTGAGTTTGAAATTCTTAATTGCGGGAGATGTTGTTTTCGGGATTCTGGATAATCTAAATAGTATCAAAGGCGAAGCAAGTCAAGATCCTCTTAATGATCATTTGCAGGAAGAAACACGGACATATGTGTGAGACATAAGCCCAAATATGTTAAATATTGGCGTAAAACGAGCTATAAAGAGAGGTATGATTCAGAAATTATCATGACTTGAGCAAAACCATTGGAGGGTCTAATTAGAGATTTGATTTATTAATGTTGCTTTCTTGATGAGTGATGTTTTCTTACTCGTTTTGTATTTGAAACTTGCGGGGTTGGAGAAGACAAATCTCTAATATGGGTGGAGGGAGATGTTGAAGCCTTGAGTTTGGAAAATAATACCATAGATATCTAGGTATGCTCATAATTTTATGGCTTTACGTTAACTTATTCACCTAAATTATCCGAGACAATGTTGACATAAAATTAGAAATAGCAAGCTAAGTACACTCTCATTAAGATGGTAAAATTGAACCATGAGAAATAATCATGTTATCATTTTTGATGTGATATCTAATTTATTACTTTGTTAAAGACTTTTAAGGATGGCTTATCTTTGAGGATCAGATTGACTATTATGAATCAAAGGAAATGATGGCTTTTCTTCAAAAACCAATATTTATGACACATTTTGGCAAAAGAAAATGCATATAACATTGGCATTGTCGAGTTTAAATTGCAAAAAATTAGCGAGTGACCATGTATTTGATTAACAAGATCAATATGTCACAAAAATTACTTGAGTTAGGTAGTAGCGATCAAATAAAGGGGATTTGAACTCACTACTAGCTTAATTTCTAAGGGTTTTCGGATTAATATTAGAAAACAAATCAAGAAAAAAAAGTAAAAAGATAAGAACAATCACTCAATACAAAAATTCTAGGTAGTTCAAAAATGATACCTACTATATGATCGTATTAGAATTTCTTATTAAGTTTTGTCAAATGACGACTATAAATACAAGTGATATTGCTTCTATTTATAGTATGAACAACTAAAATTAGAAAAAAAAGGCCTACGAGCCTTTATATCTAATCTAATATTCCATAAACTGTAGCGAGACTATTGTATTAATTTTACAAAATGTCTTATATTACGAGTCTTATTTATAAGACTCATTTATATCCGTCTATTGATTTCCACCGAGAAAGTAGACACCTCTTTTTCTCCAAGTTAGATTCCTGCATTAACCCTTGTTTGGATAGGGTGGAAAGTGGGGGAGAGGAAAGAAAAGTGGGGTGAAAAGAAATATTTACGTCGTTTGGGAAGAGAGAGGAAAGCGAGTGGAATGAAAATAATAATAATAAAGAATGCAAAAATGGTGGGACCCATTTTCCTCCCAAAATTGGGAGGAAACGGGGAGAAAAACGAAGGAAAACGATTTGTTTTTTGTTTTTTTCATTTCCGCCCTTGCTTGTCGTTCCCTTCTTTTCTCTCGCCGATCTAGCCTTTGCAAACCCACTCCCTCTCTCTCACCGGGCTTCGATGAATCGACGGAGGGCTACACCAATGTTTTTAAGAGAGTTAATGTAAGAGACATGAGCTGCTCGCAAGATTGTACCTTGAATCAATTGCTTGCTTTATGAACTTCCTCCGCTCCTTGCACGTAGCTAAATGTTCATTTTTGTTGACTTTGGAACTTGCAGAGCCTATTTCTAAGCCAAAATGTTAAAGACCCGATTCATAAAATGAACTCCATTTTTTCAAGTCTATCAACAGAATCTCTTCAAATGAGGCAATGGCTTCCGGAAAACCAAACTTTGCATTAGAAATGAAACGAGTCTCTAAAAAATCAACTTTTAAAGACCCTATAAGCCAAGGAAACGAAAGAAACAAATGGACTATGAAAAAGCTAAAACCTTTCACCTTAAACCACCCAACCTTGTAGAAGAAACGGAACAAAAACGAACAAACTTTTCCAAGCCACAAGAACATAGAAGGTTGTTTCTCCAAGAAACGAGAAGCCCACTTAGGCAAAGCTTTCATTTCAAGATTGAGACAAGACCGGGGTAATAGAAAAAAAAATTAAGTAGAAAAAAAAAAAAAATGAAGTAGAAAAATTTCAATTTTCTTTTCCAAAAGAAAGAACAAAATAGAGCAAAAGCGAGAGACGAGTAGTTGTTTTCAAAGAAGATAGGAAAGAGGAGTAGCTCGGATGTCATAAAAATCAAGCCATTAACCGAAACCCGAAAGATTATTATAGTAAGCAATGAATGCAAGTAAGGCCCCGAAGAGTATCAGTCATCGGGACTTCAAAAGGGAAGATTTTGTACGAGTAAGAACAAAAGAGAAACAAACCGAAATGATGAAAATGCAAAAAAAGCAAATACAAGTGGAATATGCAAAAGTTGATACAGAGAGAAGAAGAGAAGTAAGCCTCGGTTTGTGTGCTTAATAGTAGTAGTATTCATTTTCGGGTTTAATCATAAAAGGAAAACCAAAGGCCATTGTGATCTCGATTAAGTCCTCAAGAAATTGTTTTTATTTCAATTGGATTGCTAAAGTCTCGGGAATTCTCATGTTAGTCTTTCTATCCAATTTTGTTCATGAATTCCATTCAAATTGTTTTCTTTTTGGTAATAAGTGACATCTTTATGTAGGAAATTTAATGTTATTGTTAGAAATTTGTGAAGAGTTTGGATGGAAATCTTCCAAATGAGAATTTTTTAATATTTTGGAAATTTAATTAAGAGTGAGACTTAATAGTAGTATTATTTACTGAATTATTTCCTTCAATTTAATGCTTAATAAGAAGAGGGGGGGGGGAACAAGCAACCCTCTTTCTAGTCTCTCTCTTTTTAATTGCTAAATAGTAATTGTTTATTCTAAAAAAAATGGAGAAAATTATGGGTAAAAACCACTAACTTATTATATGCATAGATAATAATACATGTTATACATATTTAAATTAATTTTATATTGATAATTAATCTAAATAGGCTATTGAATTAATTAATTAATAAACGGTTATCGATTATTCTATAGAAACGATTCATTATCTATCTTATCATTTCGGATATATGCTATATGCTAGATTTTTATTTTATTATCATTTGTTTTATTTTCATGAAAAAAAGATTCATACAAATTTATTATAAGTATTTAAATATAGAAATATAATAATAGGGGTATTATAGTAAATATATCATAATACATTTTCTTTCCTTTCTCTTTTTACAATTATCCAAACAAGGGAAATGCATTTTCTTTCTTTTCCTTTCCACTCTTATCCAAACAATAAGTGGAAAATGATTTTCTTTCCTCTCTCTTTTTTTTTTTCTCACTTTCTTTCCTCTCCTTTCTTTCCTCCCAAGAGGAATTATCCAAAAAAGGGGTAAATGTTCTTTGTTGAGTTTGAAACAAGAACAGTTATCAAAGCTGAATCAGGCGGTGAGAAAGTTGATTCTTAGGTTTAAATTCTATGAGACCCAACGTAGTCATCGCCAGCTGTCATGTTCGATTTTTATAGGTGTTCTTTTGTCTGCATAGAGAGTTGTTGAAAAATGAGTTGAAGCATAAGGCTGACAAGAAAATTGTTCAAATGATGGCTATGAATTTATTACCATAAGAATTTCTTATTCAATCTAAACTATGCCGTAGTTTTCTTATATACTAGATTGTTAAAATTACAGAACACGTTATTATTTATATTTTAAAATTAATATATATTACAAATTATATTACTCTTATTATTTAAAATTTATTCTTTAAATTCATCACTTTTTATGAAAATTCTCATTCAATTAATATTTTTATATAAAAAATTATTTACTAATAAGTATGATTAATTTTTCTCTAAATTTGAATTTTAGAACAAAATTTTAAAACAAGGTTTTTTTTTTTAAAAAAACTAAATTGATATAATATATATCATAAATTCTTATAATTTTTAAATTATAGTTGCATACACATATATAATTTTAGTTAAAAGTATATTTTAGATAATTTATCTCAATCAATTAGGTATGGTCAAGACGTATAAGAAAACTATCGAATCATAGATTTTATTTAAAATTAATTATAAATCTTCACACATAACACCAAGTATTTTCTATAAATATTTTTATATATTATAAAAATTTTTGAAATAAAATAATTAAAATAATTTTTTAAAGAAACCAACTAATTATTCAAATACAATTTTTTATGTCAACATTATTGATTATTTTATAAATAAATATATATGGATCAAATGCATAAATTTTTTAAAATAATATTCTCATTAGTATTAAATAAGAATATTTTTTTTATTAGTTAATTTTTAGGTAAATCTATACATTAATTGTAACTTTATTTTTTAATACAATCTTATGAAAAAATATTTTTAAATTTTTTTTTAATTCTTAATAAATTTCAATTTAAATCATTACAAACTTTTATATAAGAATCAATGCATAAAAAATAATCATGTTTTTTTTAAGTAAAAAATTTATGAAAAACATAAAAAATTAATTATAAAATTTTAAAAAGATTTAATTTTGCTCAATTACCAACGAAGCGCAGGTAAATGGCTATTAAGAACTAAAGGGCAAAGTAAACGATATTGGGAACTGAATTTTAAATAAAATGAAAAAGCATCCAATAAAGTCCATCAAAGTCGAAGTAAAAAAAAAATAGCACCATGAACAGTAAACTGTCACTGAATTTCAATGTAGATTACCTGCAGCGAAACCAGGTATTTTTTTTTTATTTACAGTAGTAATGTTGGTGGTAATAACCAGCAATCATTCACTACGTTTATAATATCACACAATAAACTAGCATATGCCGGAGGGGTCGCAGAAACATCCATCCATAAGGCAGCAAAAACACAAAGTTGCGAGGCTGTGATAATAAATGTAATCAAACAAAAACATTAAAATTCAAGAATTATATATGTTGCCAAATACATATATAATAACAAGAACCAAAAAAAAAAAAAAAATTACCATCCCTCAAGGAAACCAGCTGACTCTCTCCGCCGTGGTGGAGCAGCATGATATGGTGGAGGTGTCATCACTGGAGGTCCTTGATAACCTACCAAAATATAAATGAAAAAAAAAAGGAAAAAGAAAAAAATAACACCATAAAATGATTTGAAAATATACATTTTGAGAAGAAACTAAAATAGCATAAGACGTGCAAGATCAAAAATCAAAATAAAACAGCAATGATGATGATCTAAGGTGTGACAAAACGAAAACCCAAAATGATAATAATAATAATAATAATTCGTGACATAAATAATTTGTCTGAATGATTTTCGACAAGGATAATAATCCCACTGAAAACTAACAGTTTAAACGAAAAGAGAGGTGAAAAGTAGATTAATATCACGATTAACTAGGAAAATGAAGCAAAACTATATAAATCTATAAATCTATGCTGCTCAAAGTAGCATTAATTTGAAAGGAAAAAAAAAAGAAGCATGTGAGATTGTAAAGATGAGAAAGATAAATGATTACCTTGAGCAGGGTAAGGACAAGAAGTCTGGGGGTAACTCATCTCTAACAAGGCTACCCAGAATTTTAGATGTTAAGAATGAAGGAAAACTACTGCGTTTTAGGACACAACTGGAAGTAGGCACTTTGTAGCATGAAAGTTTGGGTGCCCAAGGACAAAGAAGGTACTTTCAATTCCTTAATTGATGGCCATGAGGCAGCATCTGGTTGGTGGTATAACACATAGCTAATAAATATTGGATAGCAACATAAAGTTGTCAACACTGTATAACAAAAAAAAAAAAAGAGCCTGTATATATATATATATATATATAGGCTTTTTTTTTAAGTTTTTCTCTACTCCATGCTGATATGTGATTTTTTTTTTTTTTTGAAATTTTAGTTACCATATGTATTCTTCTCTACTTAGTTTCACATCTTTTTGGTTTTTTCCCTCAAATATCTTGACTATTTTCAGATCTTATTGTATGAAAAAAGTCAGTTTAGCCTATTTATAATAAATCAATTGTCAGAGTGATTCTTTGTGAAGATGCTCTCACTGAAAATTAACAGTTTAAATAAAGAGAGAAAAGAAAAATAATATCATAATTAAATAAAAAACGAATAAATAAACTATATATATTAATTTACTCGATAAGGCTAGATTTGACTGACGGAAAGGGATCAGGGTCATGCCCAAAAATTAAGCACATGAATCGATAAAGCAATGCAATTCAATATGTTTAGTGTTTGGGCCTAATCCCCCGATAATCTGAACTCTTTGCAGGTGATCCCTCCTGTCTGTGCTTGAACCTTTGAGCCTATACACATGTTTAAATGGGATCAGATGTGGGGGAGATATGCTCAGCTTTCTACACGAACAAGACTATTGTGCAACAAGTTGTCAAGTGAAATTCCAAACTTCAATGGGATCATCGTTGCAGCTTGAAACATCGAGTTAACACAACAACAGTACGCCGAAACTTGTTCCTAAGTTGAAACAAATTGTCTGGACTCTGGAGAAATACCAGCTTGGATCCGAGAAAATGTACCAACTAACATGTTTTTATTCAGGTGTTGAACCTCTCTCTAAAAAAAATATATCAGGAATCACACCAAACCGGTGGAGAATTATAATTTCATGGTTCAGATTTCAGAATGGTGAATCAAATCATATGATTTATAGAACTTACATTTCTTCAATGCTTTCCATTACTAACCAATCGAGAACCTTTTATCAAGGCAAATATACTAACAAAGCCTTGATTGGATGAGAAGGAAGAGAGCTAAGTATGAGAACCTCGGACTGTCAAAGATTGTTGATTTGGCCGGCAACAATTTAATAGGAGAAATTCCTGAAGAAATAACTGGTTTTTTAGAGTTGGTTGCACCGAAGAAATAACCTTGTGAGCTCCCTGTCGCCAGGAAATTTGCTGGAGATCATGAACTTCTAAGTCTACCGAATGGTGCTTGCCCAGAATCTAGAGAAGGAAGAAAAGGTCATGACCAGTTTATCACAGCATGTTCTTACAATAATGCAACACTCATAAACTCATTTTCTTATTCATGTTGATTTAGGACACAAGACTAATGAAAGCACCTAGGGAGAGATCAGACAATCTTTCTCCGGTCAACAATTCCCCTACAGTTTCATTTTCTCCAAGAACGAGGACGAGGTGGGATACTCTGTTCATGCCTGAAGTTGTTGTCAGGGTCAACTTTGGTCTTCACGTTTACCAATCTGTTGAAGTTACCCTTGAAGTACTTAGCACCCCAAACCCTTGCTTCTTGTTGACAGTAGGTTGACACAAGAGCTATCAACAAATTTTGTGTAACCTTTTGTATTTTTTTATTTAGAAAATGTTCTAGAATTTTGCTTTTGTGGTGGAGCTTATTTTTAGGAACTGAACGTGAAGACAAACCTCCTTAAAGTTAGGATTAGTTTACCAACTCCATAATCTCCGTACAACACATTTATAAATTTGAATGAAAGGAATGCACGTGTAGAGGAGCTCCATTTTTCACCTCTGTTTTGCTTCTCTCTTTCCCGTGTGCTTCGTCATATTTTTCTGCATTTTTTAACGAGTGGTATTAGAACATTCACTTGATCTTTGAGGGGCTGTGAGAGTTTTTCTTGAGAGAAAACCGGAAAGGCAACCTTCACCAAAAGACCCGAGAGTTTGTGAGTTTCAAGCGATGGCTTCCATCAATTTTACGGTTCCACTTCCTTCGTTTTCACGGGAGAAAATTATGAAATTTGGGTTGCAAAAATAAGAGCCTATTTGAAGGCCTATAATCTGTGGGAGGTCAACGAAACTAGCGAAACCACGAGCCCTTGAGAGCAAATCCCACCGTGGCTCAAATCAAGCAATACGAGTGAGGAGGTTTCAAAACAATACAAGGCACTTTCATGCATCCAAGCTCGCGTATGCGAAACAATCTTCACAAGAATAATGACTTGTGAAGCTGGAAAAGATGCATGGGATAGGCTCAAGGAGGAGTTCGGTAGTAGTGAAAGAACAAGGCGGATGCAAGTTCTCAATCTCGGAAGAGAATTTGAAGCCTTGAGAATGAAGGATTCAAAGTCGATCAAGGAATTTTCCGACGGACTCATGAAGGTGGTGAACCAAATCAGATTGATGAGAGAGGACTTGCTAGATAAAAAGGTTGTGGAGAAGGTGCTTGTTAGCCTACCCGAGAAGTTTGAAGCCAAAATTTCATCTTTTGAAGATTCGAGGGATTTGTCAAGCATTACTTTGTCGAGCTTGTTAACTCATTGCAAGCTACCGAACATAGAAGGCTAATCGGGCGAAGGAGCATTTTGAAGGAGCTTTATTTGTTCGGAACAAAGGTAAGGCTCATTCCGGTTCCGGTTCAAAGAAGCAACAAAGTGATAAAAGTGACAAAAACAAAAAAGATACACGGAGCAACAAGTCTAGAGGAAAACGGGGAAGTTTCCTCCTTGCTCTCACTGCAACAAAAGGAATAATACGAGAGAAATATTGTTGGTACAAGCCGGGAGTTCAATGCGAGATCATGCCATCGGTTTGGTCATGTTGAGAAGGTATGCAAAAATAAATCGAACAACAACGGAATCAACGAAGCTCAAGTTGCTCGAAGTCCATCAAGATCGGAGAAGAAGTTATTTGTTGCAACTTGCTATGCTTGTCACCACAAATCCTGGAGTTTGGCTACTTGGATAGTGCTTGCACAAATCATATGACACCTAATCTTGGCATGTTCAAGGAGCTAGATAGGAACTACACCTCAACGGTTAAGATTGGTGATGGAACTTGCTTGAAAATCATAGGCAAAGGTGTGATTACTTGTGGATACATCTTCGGGTACTAGGCTAATTCTCGAAGTTCTTCTAGTTCCTAATTTAGATCAAAACTTGCTGAGTGTGGGTCAATTGCTTGAAAATAATTATTCTTTGGTGTTTAAAAACAAAGCTCGTGATGTGTTTGATCTTAAAGGAGCCAAGCTTCTCTCTGTTAAAATGAACAAGAGATGCTTTCCTATTCAATGGAAAAATGCTTGAAATAAAAGCCTTTACTACGAGTTGTTGATGAATCTGTTTTATGGCACAAAAGGCTAGGCCACTTTAATTATGCTTGCTCTAAAACAAATGCAAAGGAATGAGTTGGTTATTGATATGCCTACTGTGAGTGAAAATTCGAAGTATGTGGTGTGTGTCAATTTGGGAAGCAAACAAGGCTTCCATTCCCTGCAAATCAAGCTTGGAGAGCTTCATAAAGCTCCGGTTGGTTCATTCGATGTGTGTGGTCCCATGAGGACACCCTCACTCATAGGCGACGAGATATTTCTTGTTATTCATTGATGACTTTAGTATAATGTGTTGGGTTTATTTTCGAAGCGAAGTCGAAGTGTTTGGCATGTTCTTGAATTTTAAAGCAATGGTGGAGAAGCGATACTGGATTTCAAATCAAGACTCTAAGGTCCGATAACGGGACGGAATATACATCAAATCGGTTTAAAGAATTTCTATCAAAAGATGGAATCCATCACCGAACTTACCGTCCGATACTCTCCACGACGAATGGAGTTTATGAGAGGAAGAACGAGTCTATGATGAATATGGCAAAGTGTTTGCTATTTGAGAAGGGTGTTCCCAAGCATTTTTGGGCGGAGGCTATCAATACCTCTGTGTATTTGCTCAACGAGTTGCCAACTAATGCAATTGAGGGTAAGACTCCATTTGAAGCTCGATTTGGAGTTAAACCTTCTATTTTTCATCTCGGGATATTTGGTAATGTGTGTTATACTCATGTTCTCGATCCAAAAAGGGACTAGTGAGCAAAGAAGGTAGATGTTGGGATCCTAATTGGTTATAACAGCAACTCCAAAGCCTATAGAGTCTTTGACATAGCCTCACAAAAGGTTGTGGTTAGAAGAGACATTAAGGTTGATGAATCGAGCAATGTGGGATTGGGAGAAGTCCAATATTACTTCTCCAAATCAGATTGGTCTTGGAGAAAATATGCCCCAAGAACAAGATGTTGTGTTTGAAGAAGAAGATTCGGATGATGAAAACCAAGTCATCAAAGGAATAAGAACACTTACGGACATTTATGAAAGGTGCAATGTTGCTATGTTTGAGCCAAGAAGTGTTCGAAAGCTATAGAGTCTCTTGAGTGGAAGGCACGCGATGGAAGAAGAACTAAAGATGATAAACAAGAATGGCACACGGGTTCTTGTTGATAGGCCATCCGACAAGCATGTAATTGGTGTAAAATGGGTTTTTAAGTTCAAGCTCAATTCGATGGGTCAATCGACAAGCATAAAGCAAGGCTGGTGGTGAAAGGGTATTCACAAGAGCTTGGAGTTGACTATAATGAAACTTTTGCACCGACTCATAAAAGCTGGAGTGTTTTCCAATTAGATGTGAAGTCGGCTTTCTTGAATGGTCAATTACGGGAGGAGATTTATGTAGAGCAACCCGAAGGCTTTGAGCTTGAGCAAGCCTCAAACAAAGTATATTTGTTGAAGAAAGCTCTTTATGGCTTAAAGCGAGCTCCACGAGCCTTGTATAGCAAAATTGATGAGTATTTGGTAAAGTTGGGATTTAGCGAAGTTGTAATGAGGCAACTTTATATGTGAAGTAGATAAGTGATGATGTCTTGATAATTTCCATCTATGTTGATGATCTTCTTATTACCGGTAGCGACATCATTTTTGTTGATCAATTTAGGAATCAAATGAAGCAAATCTTTGAAATGAATGATCTTGGGAAAATGTCATTTTTTTACGGGAATTGAAGTTCTTCAAGTCTCACATGGCATCTTTATTTTCCAGCATAAGTATGCCAAAGAGTTGTTGAAAAGGTTTGCAATGACCAAGTGCAAACCGGTCTCTACACCTCGGTGCGGGGACGAAGTTAAGCAAAGATGATGCAGCTGAAAAAGTTGATGTTACTGCTTATAGAAGCTTGGTTGGTTGTCTTTCTTATTTGGCAATCACTAGACCCGATATAATGTTTGCAACAAATGTGCTCTCAAGATTCTCACACTCTCCAACACAAGTGCACTATCAGTGCTGCTAAGAGGGTGTTGAGATATGTTAAAGGAACAATTGATCTTGGTTTGATGTACGGAAGATCTACTAGCTTAAAGCTGCTTGGGATTCACCGATAGTGATTGGGCGGGCTCAATAGATGATACGAAGAGCACATCGGGTCAATGTTTTTCCCTTGGTTCAGCCATGGTCAGTCGGTCTACACGAAGCGAGAAAATTGTTGCTCAATCAACATCGAAGCGAGTATATTCGTTGCTGTTGATGCTCGTCAATCAAGCAATTTGGTTGAGGAAGATGTTGGTTGATTTGAAACGGGAGTAAAGGAATCCTACAGAGATTCTTTGTAATAACAATTCAGCTATTGCCATTGCAAAGAATCCGATGTTTCATGGAAGGACAAAACATATCAAGATCAAGTATCATTCATTAAAAGATTATCAAAATGAAGGAGAAGTAAAGCTTCTCCATTGCGGTGGTGAGGAGCAATTGGCGGACATCTTCACAAAGAGTTTGCCAAAAGAAAAATTTGAAATGATTAGGCTCCACCTTGGCGTTTGCGGCAGCTCTTGTGCCAAGGAGGAGTGTTGACGATAGGTTGACACAAGAGCTCGTCAACAAATTTTGTGTAACCTTTTGTATTTTTTTTATTTAGAAAATGTTCTAGAATTTTACTTTTGTGGTGGAGCTTACTTTGAGGAACTGAACGTGAAGACAAACATCTTTAAAGTTAGGATTAGTTTACCAACTCCATAACCTCTGTACAGCACATTTATAAATTTGAATGAAAGGAATGCACATGCGAGATGAGCTCCATTTTTCACCTCTGTTTTGCTTCTCTCTTTCCCGTGTGCTTCGTCATATTTTTCTGCATTTTTTAACACTTCTTCGACACTTATGTTGGCCTTCATGTTCATCCCCAAATCAAGGTCCTTGTGATTGAGGTATGCTTCTCTAGGATTCTTGGAAACATAAGGTGTCATGTACTCATAAACCTTCCTAACCCATTCAATATACGTTGCAGGCAACACTCTCCGAAGGATCATTCCAGCTGGTTGCATACTCGAGCATGAACAGGTTACCATTTCTATGAGGGAAAGGAGTCTCACATTTTGGAATTTTATCCATTATTCCACCATAAGGTACCAATGAGGTAGCGAGCTTATCTTCTTGAAAGAAAAATTCCCATAACCCTTCAAGTGCTGTTTCATTTATGGGTTTTTTGGCGAAGTCTGGCTTGCTTTTAGTGTAAACTGGGAATAAATTCTTCTGTTGAAGCAAGACTTCTGGAGTTGAATTGGGGGGAAGAAAGCTTCATATAGAACTGAACTGATCCAGTCCATTTCAATAAAATCCTTCCTTGTTAAACCCAATTCAGGGAAACTTTTTGCATCACTTCGAGGAGTCTGTTGGTATCACCAAGAAACAAACCACTATATACAGAGCTTACAGTTTTTTTACCTGTGTCACTGGTAATAGCTGGTCGTATGCCAACGATTAAGTAAAGATCCACATCAAATGTATGAGCAACTTGTTGCCATCTATAGAGGAGCTTAGTACCACCTTGTTCCATGAACTTCGAAACCCTAAAACCTGTCACAGTTGATGGTACTGGAACCAGTTTTACTTTCCAGGCAGTAATGATCCCAAAGCTGGCTCCTTCACCTCCTCTAATTGCCCAAAAAAGATCTTCTCCCATGGCTTTCCGATCAAGGAGTCTTCCTTAAGCATCAACTATATGAGCATCAATGACATTGTCTGCAGAAAGGTCATATTTTCTAAAAAAGGGGCCATATCCACCTCTAGAAAGGTGCTCACCAAGACCCACACTGGGACAAGCACCAGTTGGGAAACCAAGATTTTTACTTTTCTCTGAAATTCTAAAGTGAAGTTCACCAACTGTAACACCTGCTTGAGCCCACGCACTCTTATGCGTGATGTCAACGCAAATGGCACAAAGGTTGGCCAAGTCTACCACAATGAAAACTATGTCAATTACAGAGGTGTAAGAGATTCCTTCAAAGTCATGGCCTCCACTGCAGATCCTAATCAGAATTCCAAGCTGTTTTGAGCAAACAACAGTAGCTTGGACGTGGGATTCTTGCAAAGGTGTGAAAATAAACTCAGGTTTCGGTACTGAAGGCAATACGAACCTGAGATTTTGAGCTATAGATAGTAAGACATTAGTGAATGAAGAGTTTTTTGGAGTGTACAAGATAGTGGAGAAAGGAAAGGAAGATTCTGAATGCAATGAGAGACATTTTAGAAATCTACCCTGAATTGGAAGGGAAACTATAGATAAAGGAAACAAAAAGAGGATTCGAAGAATGGGGATAATGGAAGAAATCGATTGAACCATTTTGCTTTGTCTGTTTCTTGCTTGTGTTTCTGGAATTGATTTGTCCTGATCTTATAGAGAACTACTATCAGTTGATGACCCTGTAATTGATCTAATCCTAAAGTCCACCTAAGCAGAGGAGACTTAATTTTGGTTGATGACTTGATGCACCCCTTGCGGCAATTTAATGTAACAAGTAGAATAAATTCCGTAGATGCTGACTTCATATTTTGAATGGATTTTGCACATATTCAGTAATGTATAATTCGATTTTTTTTAATTGAGATCTTTTTATTTTTTGTCTAATTAAAAGTTATATTTTTATATTATTTTTGTTTCGGATCTTAATATGTTACGTAAGCACATGTGGTAAGTATGACAAGCTCTAACCAATGATAACTTGTCATATGTCATGACGGATTTAAATTAAATGATTAAACTGATGATATGATAGGTTATTATGGGCTAGAGCTTATCGTAGTATGCCACGTGTGCTTATGTGATAAGTCTGTTGGTTAGTATCTAAAACAATAATAATATAAGAGTAAAATTCTTAAATTAGATAAAAAAAATTTAAAATCTCAATAAAAAAAATTTGAATAGAATAATATCTCAATATAGATAAAATCCTATTTTAAATCCTTGAAGCTAAGGTAAAAGGGACAAGACACTTTACAAATTAATAAATATAAGTTTCATGCCCATCCATTGGCCACAAATCTTAAAATTTGAATGGAAGAATGAGCCGTGCTTTTAGCTGGCATTTTTTTAGTGCTATTCTGGCCTGTTGGGTAGGCTGTCTTTTTTTTTTTGGCCTTAGATGGGGTTTCGTGTGGTAATCTCTTTTGGATGCTTGCGGTATCTTTTCTAGTTGTCCGTGCTGTGTGTCCTGTTATTATTATTTTTTTCTTTTTTATATATAAATCGAGATCTCATTCATCAAAAGGAAAACAAATTAAGCATTTAGACTTATAATAGTCGGTTGCTTGCGTTATACTACAGATTTGATATAATAAACTTATTTTAAAATTTTAAAATTTTAATTTTTTATTTAATTAATTTTTTAAATAACTTTTTATAAATTATTTTGCTTAAAAAAACAAAAATCATTCTTCTTTATGGATGGAAAAAAATCTTCTTATCAGAATTACAAAAACTTTAAAAATATATTTTTCATAATATTGTATTTCAAAAAATGAAATTATAATGAATAGATAGACTTTTATAAAAACTAACAAATGGAAAAAAAATTCTTATTTAATATTGATGAGAAGAATAATTTTTAAAATTATCAACGCAATGCTACAGTAGATAGAACAAAATTATTTCAAAATTTTATAATTTTTTCAATAATTTTTATTTAATTATTACTATTTTTTGTGTTTTTCATAAAATTTTTACTTTTATAAAATGATTTATTTTTCTTTATTTAGGGATTCCTAAGCAAAAACTTGTAACATATAATTTAAACCTGAAATATTAATAAGAATATGAAAAAAATGCTATAAAATATATTGTTTTATAAGAATATATCCAAAAATAAAGTTACAATTAATGTATAGACTAGCAAAAAAATTAACCAATGAAAAAAAAAATCTTTTTTATTTAATGTTGATGAGAAGATTATTTTTTTAAAGTACATATATTTAATTTATATATATTATATACTCGTTAGTTTGTATGGAAAAAAAGTAACAATTGATTTTTAAAAATTTTAACACCCAATTAAATAAAAAAAGAACATAAATTTATGAAAAAAAGAAAAAAAAAGAAAA